GATCATCTCCGCGTCATCTCCATGCAGAAGGGGGGCAACATGAAGGAGGTTTTCCGCCGCTTTTGCGTAGGGCTGCAGAAGGTGGGTGCCTGCTCTGGCGACTGACTTCTGACTCCACCCTAAACGCCCCACCCACTCCCCAAGGCCACGCCCCTAGGAACATGCCCCTCCCACACATTCCCAACCGCTTTCCAAGGTCACGCCCCTTGCCAACCAGGCTCCTCCCAATACTGCCCAAGACCCACCCCCTCAGGCAAATGCAACTCGCTTTCCAAGGCCCCGCCTCCTGGGGAACTCCGTTCCACCCCTACATTAAGCTCCGCCCCTAAGGACCCGAAACGTTCTCAAGCTCCGTCCTCTCGGAATCCTGCTCAGAATCCTGCAGAGTTCTGTATCGTCGGTCCCTTCCTTTCAGAGCGTCATCCCTCCCTGTCTCCCCGCCGCGCCCCCTCAGAACCCCGCCCCCACCCACATCCTTCGAACTCCGTCCGGGTTTGGGGTGTACTTGGGGGCGCCCACTGACGCTGACTTGACTCCTGGTCCTCTCGTCCTACCTCAGATTGAGGAGATCTTCAAGAAAGCCGGCCACCCCTTCATGTGGAACGAGCATCTGGGCTACGTGCTCACCTGCCCATCCAACCTGGGCACCGGGCTGCGTGGGGGCGTACACGTAAAGTTGGCACACCTGAGCAAGCACCCCAAATTCGAGGAGATCCTAAACCGTCTGCGCCTGCAGAAGCGGGGCACAGGTGCGGCCCGCCTCCCCGCTCACGGCGTCGGGGGCGGGCCTTTTGCGGTGGTGGGGAAGTAGGGTATTCCCGCCAGTTCTGGGGTCGGCAAGGGTGCCCTCTGTGAGCCTCAGTGCCTTCCTCTGCAAATGGACATCAAAACGCCTTATCTCATAGGAGTCAATATGATATCATTATGGTTATAAAATACACATTGTGTATGCCCCCTCCCCAGGAGCCTCAGTTTACCCAACGGTAAACGGGAAGACAGTCAGGATTAGACCCCAGGCAGCCCGGGGCGGGGCCCCAGAGCTCATTCTCACCCACCATGCTACATTTTCGTGTTGGGTGGTGGAGGGGTGAGGTAACTAAAGCCGGAGATGTGGGCTGGTGAAAGGCCTGTTAGGAGGCTCTGCGTGCCTGTGACGTGTGACGCAGTAAGCACTTATTGCACGCGGCTGTCCCGTTGGCACGGGCGTGGCGTCCAGGGCGCCGCTCCCGCACCTCTGCTCCCTCTTCATGCCCCTGCTTTCTGCTCCCGCAGGTGGCGTGGACACAGCTGCCGTGGGCTCAGTCTTCGACGTGTCCAATGCCGACCGTCTGGGCTCATCCGAGGTAGCGCAGGTGCAGCTGGTGGTGGACGGCGTGAAGCTCATGGTGGAGATGGAAAAGAAGCTGGAAAAGGGCCAGTCCATCGACGACATGATCCCCGCCCAGAAGTAGACTCCCTGTCTGCCCGCCGCCGACTGCTGGAGCCCCAGCCCAAGGGAAGGCCAGGCCCAATGGAGACACGCCCCTTCATCCCTTGTCCCGCCCCTTTCCCCGGGAGGCCGGCCTGTGCTGGCTCGATCAACCCGGGGCCCTATCCACCCTTCTTGGCGGTCCAATTCCAACCAGAGTTCCAACCGGTGGGCTCCATCTTCTGGGTTCTGGCCAATGAAAAACCTCCCTTACACCCTCCTCTCCTTTCCCCAGAGCCTCGCACACCAGCAGGAGTTCTGGCTAAGGGAGAGTGCCCTGTGTATCTGGAGCTCGTGCTTTTTTTCCATTTAAAGCAACAAGTAAAAGCAATGGTGGCCTTAACTTTGTGTGCGATAGTTACTGAGGGGGGAGGAGGCATGTTTGTAATTGGCTGCTGTCTGACCTTGAGGTGGCCTGCCCTCTCTAGGCAAGTACTAGTTTTATCCCATCTCTAAAATGAGGCAAAGTTAGGATACAGAGTGTAACCCAAAATTATAAGGCTTGATGGGGAATCTGAAACCCAGAGAGGTGTGGTCCAGTGTCAAATACCCAAGCCCGGGCCCTTCCCAATCTCGGCTCCTGATCACGCATGCTCAGATCTCAGAGTCCACGTGAGGGAGAAACGCTGGCCAGAAGGGCAGGCCAAGACTTGAATTTGGCCCACAGGCTTTCAGTCTGAGAGCTCACATGCGTTTCACCACATGTACCTCACTATGCTATCCACTGGCCTTCTGTGAGGTCTGACTTCATCCCTCTGTAGCTGCTTCCAGATTTCTCAACCGCATTTGCTTTGCTCAAGAAACTGCTGGTAGTTCCCACATCTTCTAAAAAGCATCCCTGTTATTTGCGACTCTTCAAGGTCAAACTGTGATGCATACCATTTCCTGAGGCTCATCTTTCCCATTCTTTCCCCACATTCCTCTATGTGCCCTCTGGCTCCTTACACCCTGCAATTCCCACCTCGATGTCTTTGCTCAGGCTGCTTCCTCCCCCAGACAGGGGCTTGGGGCAGAGCATCCCGGGGAAGCCTTTAGGGACTTGGGAGAGTCTGGTCCCAGAAGGGAACAGGAAAGGGACATTGAGGCCCAGGAATTACCCAAGAATTCCAAGAGATTACTGAAATAGGAAGGTTAGGAGAGACCCCAAAGGTCTAGTCATGCAGGACCTGTCAGAGGCCAGGACGTCCTTTACAATATTGTTCCCAACTGAAGATCCCCCAACTAACCCCAGCTCCACCCCCAGGGGCCACACAGACCACAGACACTGCAGTGGGGGACAGGCGGAGCCAGTCAAATCCGCAGCCGAAGGTGTCTGTCAGCTACTGTGCCCACCCAGCCCACTTTGAACCTCAAACCTTAAATCTGCGCCTTCTCTTTCCACCTTCGGTGCTGCCCCTACCTCTTTCCTACTCTTCCGAGCTGTCTCCTTCCCTTGTTTCACAGCACAAACCTGTTCCTGCCTCTCCCTTGCTCACAAACTCGCCATGGCTCCCCAGTGCCTTTGGAAGAAGGTCCAGGCCCCTCCCCACAACCTTCGAGGCCCTGCCAACATCTCCAGCCTCCTGTCTCACCCTGAATCAGATGCCATTTGCTGAAAGACATGTACTCTCTCTTGCTTCCCAGCCACTCAATTGTATATGCTGCTCCCTCACCTAGAACCCAGACACCATATCCCCCCTGCCCCCTGCACTGCCCCATGCCCAGCTAGCAGCTCCTTGGAGCTGCTCCCTAACCCTAGCCCTCCCTGGCTAGGGCAGGCTCCTCTTTTGGACTCCCCCATACCAGCCCTGTCCAGTCTGGATCTGCACTGAGGACACAGCTGCCCCTTTGCTGGACTGTGAGCCCTGAGGGGTGGGCTGGGGCTGCCTTTGTCACCAGTGTGTGCCCAGCACAGGGCTGGAACCTCCCTGGCCATGCACCACCCCAACCCACTCTTTCTTCTGCCCACTCAACCATAAACACCTTGCAGCTGCTTCCTATTCTGGCCTCTGTGGCAAGACAGCAGCGCCACTCTAACCCAACCCCTGGATTTTTCAACACTGATCACGTTCAATCTCCACCCCTCTTCACTTCTCATGTCTTTCCTATCAGCCTCATGAGAAACACAAGAATTGACTCTACCAAGCACCAGAGGAGCAACTGAGGCAGTTAAATCTCTTCCCTCCATACAACCTTTCATGGCTCCTCAGTGCCCTGGGATATTAAGCCAGTTTGTTCACTTTGGCCCACAAGGTCATGGGTGAACAAGACCTGCCTCCCTGTCCTCAACTGCTCAAGTTTATTGAGCTCCCATGTCCCTGCTGCTCAGGACTCCTTTAACTTATGGGGAACCACCCTTCAAGTCCAGCTATAGGTACAGGCCTGGCCACTTGCATCTCAGTGATTGGTTCAGAAATGGCCATATGACCAATTTGGGCCAATTAGAGTCTGCCTTGTAACTTTCACTGGAAGTTGGCAATGAGGAACATCCTGTTGCAGAAACTAAGCTGGGGGAATGAAGATTGGAAGTGCTGGGGTCACTTTGCCACCAGGGAGTGTCTACTGAATAAAAATGCTGGTATGAAACATGATGAAACGCAGCAAAGGTGAGATGGCCTGCTGCCTGGACCCAGCCATACCTGAAGTCGGACCCCTGGGCCATTAAACAACATAACTGAGGCCGTCTGGGGTAGCTCAGTGGATTGAATATGGATTGCGAACCAAAGGGCCGCCAGTTGATTCCCAGTCAGGGCACATGGCTGGGTTGCAGGCCAGGTCTCCAGTAGGGGGGCACATGAGAGGCAACCACACATTGATATTTCTCTCCCTTTCTCCTTCCCTCTGTAAAAATGAATTAAAAAAAAATTATTAGAAAAAGTAACCAAATAGCTTTTGCCTTAAGTGTAGATAATTTGTCCTAATATAGCATGTCTCTTGCTAATTCTCCACCTGCCCCCAACACAGCAGCCACACTGGAGTTACCCACAGTTCTGTGGAGATACACCACGCACCCCTACCTCCTGGGTCTTTGCCTAGGGTATACGCAATACCTGGTCAACTCCCACTCATCCTTTAGAACCCAGTCGTGGCACCTCTTCCTCTGCAGTGCCTTCCCTAATCTCCTTTCCCTTCAGGTCTCCCCGAGGCCATCATTTCTCCAGTGTCTGTGCCGTAAGCCCCATCCCCTGCAGGCAAGGGCCCCTGCGTCTCCATGTCAGCACGGGGCCTGACACGGAGGCGGCACCGGTCAATGACTGTTTATTGAATAAATGTACTACTGGAGTAAGAAGTGGCTGAGTCCAATATACCATGTGGGTGAGCACGTGAGTGGGTGGACGGAGGTCCCACGTAGGAACTGGGCGCCTCGCGGACGAGGCTGAGTTCTGCCCTGCCCTCTCCCACCATCATCCTTGACCCTCTCACCCCACCACCCTTATTCTGCAGATGAGGAAACCGAGGCTCAGAGAGGAGAAACCACGGCCCAAAGTCACATTCCTCTTCTTGGTCTCACTTGCAGGTGAGGGCAGGGAAGGAACACCCCGGGGTCAGCATGGGGGAGGGGGACTCTCCTAAGTTTATTGGACAAACAGGCTGCAGGTGAGGGGCAGACAGGAGGGTGGGGATGTAATAACTTAAAAACCGGAGGCAACAGCGCCAGCTCCAGCTCCTTGAGAGATCTCTGCAGAGGGGAGGGCATGGGGGTATTTACAAGGATTTGTACAAAGTGTCCCGCACCAGCCTGGGGCAGGGAGGGGGGTTCGAGCATGGGGGGCGGGGAAGGGGAAGGAATCTGCCTCTCTGACCCCCCTATTTCCAGTCCCCCAATTCTCCAGTCGTCAGGCTCAGCAACCCTTCCTGCCCCTGCCCAAGGCCTGATCCGTGAACTGTTGGGAGGAATGGAAGAGTGTCCTCAGTTTCTCCTCCTGCCCCTGCCCTGCCCCCAAAGTCTCCTCAGGTGCTCCATGGCAGGGTGCGGAGGGACAGGACTGGCTGGAGGCTCCAGGAAGGCGCCTCCCCCCCGCCCCGCCCCCGCCCTTCTGAGCCCACACACTCTTCCCTCAGCCACGCATCCCGGAGAACAGCAGAGGAGACGGCCTTTGCCCCCAGTCCAATCCAACTGCGGGGATGACCATGGAAGAATCCGCCCCCTGACCCCTTTCCCTCCTGCAGAAGTGAAGGGGACCAGGAAGAGGAAGAGGAGGTGAACCAGGGCCGTGGCGGCTCAGAGCTCGAGGTCGTTGGAGATGCGGGTGACGAGGGTGCGGAAGGCCAGGGCGGTGCCCGCCACGCGGCGGAAGAGAACTCCCCGCAGGCCCGGCCGGGGCAGCTGGCAGACCTCCACTTCGAAGTGGGACAGGGGCTCGGGCCCGCCCGCACCCCCGTGCAGGCACGCCAGCAGGAACGGCTGTGGCTGGCGGCAGCGGCAGCGGGCGGCCGCGGTGGCCTGGCGCAGAGCTGCCATCAGGGCCTCGGGCGGGCGCGAGCTGGTCAGCTTCACACTCCAGGGGAATCGGAGCAGCCGGGGGGCGGTTTCCGTTTGATCCCAAGGTAGATGGCAACTGAGGTGGGAGATACAAGAGGTCACAGGTGGGAGAAGAGAAAGGGGCCCCTACTGTTCCCGCTTCAGGCCAGATCCCTAGAGGTCCCCTCCAAACCTGCCTCCCCTTTTAACCCCAGTAACCAAGTTCCAGCTGGACATACAGATGCCCAGACATTTCCCAGCCTCCCCTGAAGCCGGGCAAGGCCTCATCTTCGAATTGGAGGCAGATGGAGGTGACGCGTATGCAACTCCACACACGTCACCTCCTCTGGAGGACACTGCGTGCCCCGGCCCCTCATGCCCCCGTCCTGTGAGCCAGGCTCAACAGTGATGATGGCAATGGGGCTCCAAGGGCTGGTGGTGCCAGGACCCGGATGCCTGAACGACCTCACGGGCTGAATGGCCCTGCCCGCCCAGCCTGGCCCCCTGGTTTGTGGGAAAAAGAAATTGATCCTTGTCGTGTGCTTTGGGGGCTCTACTCTGGCAGCTGGGCTTGCTTCTTAATGAATATATCCCTCTGGTAAGAACAGTCACTTTTCCGTTGAGGACCAAGTCTCCCCACTCTAGACTGGGGTTCTCATCTAGAAGCAGTACTGTCATCCCCCCAAGAGGTACTTGGACATTTCTGGGGGCTTTTTGATGGTCACAATGTCTTGGGATGGGAGCACCGTGGGCCTTTATTACGTTGTGTATGAGGAAGATCAGGGACAACAGGTGGTCTGTAATGGGCAAGAGGGCCCTGTACAACAGAGACATCTTCCCTCAAGGCCAAGGGCGTTCCTTTTGAGAAGCACTGCAGATCTAGTCTTTCTGATTCAGATGGGGCTGCCTCCACCTCTCAGTGCCAAGGGTGAGAGCCACTTAGTTCTGGCCAATGAGAGCATTCTGCCTCCCTGGCCACTGTGATTGGCTTAAGGATGACCAGATCTGACCAATGAGAGCATTCCACCCCTCTGGCCACAGGCATTGGTTGGACATGTGACCAAGCCCTAGCCAATGAAGAGTCAGTTCTGGGACTTTGGTTGGAAGTGCTGGGGCAGCTCTTCATTCCCACTGGGAGTCTCTACACCATGTCGTGCCAAGCTAAAGCAGGGCTTGGCAAGGTGGAGCACTGCCTGCTTTTGTAACCAAAGTTGTATTGGAACATAGCCACCTCCATTTGTGTTCATATGGAACATGACTGCTTTTGCCCTACAACGGCAGAGCCAAATAAGCACGACAGACTGGCCCTCCAAGTCTAAACTCTGTTCCACCCAGGGCTGCGTGCAGGGTGTTGGCCACCAGCTGGTCCAGAGCTGCCCGCCACCATCCTGCCTCATCGGATGAGGGGAAAGGAGGGGTGGTGTTACTGGCGGGGGGCGGGGGGCGGGGGGGGGAGAAGAGCTGGATGTAGGTGGAGTAGCCTGAAGTTAAAGAATGTCAAGAGAAGGTGCTCAGGGCTGGGGTGGAAACAGGGGCACTTGGTGGAGGGAGAGGAAGAGTTGCTAGTAGAGAAGGGAGGGTCATGGGAGCATTTCAGGGAGCTGGCCTCACAGGATGAGTCTCAGGTCCCCTCGAAGGGCCAAGGGGGTGGGGGGCAGTGCTGAGACAAGTGAGGTCTGAGGCAGGCAGAGGGGGAGGGCTGGGTAGCCGCCAAGGGCAGGCCCATGCACTCACCTTGTGACCTCAGGTCCCCCGATTCTCTCAGGTTCGTCTGAGACCCTAGGGGAGAGGAGGGGCAGAGTGTTTAATCCAGACCCAGGGAGCCCCCTCCCCCCACCCACTGCCTCTGAGACTCTGGGTGGCCCCCGCCCCGCCTTGGCCCCAGCCCCTCACGCTGGCTGCAGCTGGGCAGGGAAGGGCCTAGAGCCCGCATCTGAGCGCCCTTTCCAGGCCCAGACGGGAGCCCACGGTTAGTGCAGGTCATAGGAAAGATACTGAAGAGTTCAGAAGACAAAAGAAAGAGGGGGGTGGGCAGAGACACACACCCACATGAAGAAGGGGTGACACACACGCGCGCCCCCTCCCCAGGCCCTGCACCAGCGACACGCCCTAGCGAGGCCCGCCCACCTGAAGCAGCACCCTCCCTTCCCCACACCCCGGCCCCCCTGCCCCGCTCTGGTTCTCGCCTCAGTACTTGTCACCACCCGACAGTCTGTGTGTTTGCCTTGTTTACTGCTGACTGTCTGGCTCCCTGGTACAGTGCCGGCCCTGCCGGGGCAGGGCTTGCCGGAGCACAGTTTGTTCTTTCCCCCAGGGCCCCCGGATGGTGCCAGGCACACAGTAGGTGCTCGATGAACAAAACTGCAAACCTTTACAAAGCAGTTTCCAGAGCAACACTCTAAGCTCAGCCCATATACCACCTCATCTGGTCCACACGGCAACCCCCTGAGGGAGCAACTGTTATTACTATCTTTATGAAAGAGTGAAGCCCAGAGAGGCTGAGTGACTTGCTCAAGGTCACTCAGCACAGCTGGGGCCTAAACCTCAGGAGTCTGGCTCCAGAGGCCGGACTATTGTTTATTAAATGAATAAGCGACCCCTCCCGCCACTCACAGAGTACCCCCATGCCTGCACGCACGCACAGCTCAGACATGCGGACAGGGAGGCAGAGCGGGAGAGCTGAGGGCAGACAGGACTTACTGATCTTGGATCCCTGGGGCAAAGAGGCGCCCGAAACGCAGCGGTTAGAGTTCTGCCGTTTAGAGGGATCGAGGGTAACCCTGTAGTGCGAGGAGGGAGTGAAGGGTGACGGAGGAGGAGGAGGAGGAGGAGGAGGAGGAGGAGGAGGAGATGATGTCGAGGTAAAGGAAGCAGAGTTGAGTAGAAGACAGGTTAGGCCCCACCAGCCCCCCACTCCGACCCTGTCCCCCATGTCCAGTGGGACTCACCTTCGGGTCAGTTTGGAGGTCAGCTTGGTGAAGAGGTTGGTGGTGGGGCGTGGCCGCCCGGTGGGCAGGGGTGTGGCCTCATGGGCCAGCGTGGGCGAGGCGGGGGGGCCATTCTGCACGCCCCCACCGCCCCCACCCCCTGTGCGCCGGTCTCGGACCTGGCCCCCGTGGAAGGTGCTACGGATGGTGGAGCCCCGTGCCAGGCGGCTCCGCTCCCCCGATGGAGGAGCCAGACTGTGGCTGGAGGGGGAGGCGGGGGGCACCCGTGGGGTACCCGAGCTATGGGCAGAGAGGAGCAAGTCAGGGTGGGACCCGAGGCCGGCCAAGTCCCCAGTCCCTCTGATTCTTCACTGTCCTGTCCCGAGATCAGAAACTTCTCCCAGCCTGGAGCTAGGAGAAAGGGCGGGCTGTGCAAGCCGTGGACTGAACAGCCCCTCCGAAGCCTCCCTCCACCACGCTGCCCTTCTTCAAACTCCGCCCCTCCACGTGGGCCCCCAGCCAACTCTCCTCCTCCAAATGCAGCTACTGAACAGATTCAGATACGCTGCTGGACAAATCCTTGGCTATTTGCCATCCAAACCTCAACAACCAAATCACCTTTGTGAATACTCTGTTATCACAACTCTCATCACCTAAACTTGGGGAGGGAGTACCTACGTAATCAAGGTGACCTATATTCCTTAGGGCAATTTTTCAACAGGTGAAAATAAAGAGGAAGGAACCCTCTTCCTAACTTTCTCAAGATGCTGTGGGGGCAGTGGTGGGCCAACTGTCCCAGGATGCTCCCCCAGCCCCATCACCCTCCCAGTCCTGACAGAAGGGGCCAGACCTCCCATCTTGATCCTTCTAGGGACCCCCACACCAGCCTGGATCTCAAAGAGGGAACCCTGACTGTGGTAGATGCCACCATCTCTCCCCTAGAATCCATCCTCCTTGTTTTCCTATAGTCTCAAATCTCTAAGAGTCTGAGCACTGGACACAGGCCACACAACCAGAGACTATATTTCCCAGCCTCCCTTGCAGCTAGCAGTGGTCATATGACCATGGCTGGGCCAATGGGATATAAGCCAAAGTGCCTGGTACTATTTCTGGGTCTAAAAAGAATGCTGCTTGCCCTCTACTTTCTTTCCGGGCCCCTCTGGCTGGTTGGGAAATGCTGCCCACTGCTGTGGTGGCCTGAGGCCCGGAGCTGGAGCCTCACAATGAAAATGGCAGAAGCAGTTTGGGTCCTTGGAGGACCCCGCCTACCTGCCCCTGGATGACCACGCCACAGAGGAGTAAACCTCCCTCTCATTTAAGCCACAATACCTTGGGGTCTCCTCGTTTCAGCAGCTGAGTCTATAATCTGACTGTGCACATCTCTTGACTAGAACTGGAAGGCCATGCATTATAATGGGTGCAATACAGATTCTAGAGTCAGTCTAGAATCTTTGCCCCTTCGGTCACCAGCTGTGTGGCCGGGACGGTCTGCCTAACCTTCCGGGTCTCATTTCCTCGGTTAGAAAACAGACACCAGGTGCTCCTCCCTCACAGAGTGGTTAGGGGCCTTCAACCAGCTAAGGTCCAGAGGCCAGGCACATGGTCACTGCTTGATGAGTTATTTGTGTAACCCTACAGTCCTGCGGGGGCAGCAGTGTCACTGTCCCAAAGCCCCCGCCCCAACTTGAACTCTGACAGGAGCGACTTCACTCCCTCTCACGCTGCAGCCGGTCTGCACCAGTTTCCCTCACTTGCCAGCTGAAGGAGACCGAACAGACTGGAGCAAATAAGTTTGAAAACAAGCCAGCCAGAGGATGTGGAAGCTGTGCCATCCTGGGGCTTCTGAGCTCTAAAAATGGATCATTCAAAAAAAAATCAACTCTGATTTCTAAGGCTCGTAGGCAGAGAACAGGGCGGGCAGCTTCCCTGTCCTGATGACTGATTAATTCATCGAGGGGGGAGGACTGCGGGGGGGGGGGTGCGGGCAGAGGTGGGTTCCTGGGGGGGGGGCAGATACACATTCCCCAGTCCCGCAATCCCCCCTCCCCCAACATCTATCGTCTTAGATCAAGGGGCACCCTGCTCACCTGCCCTGCCCCCACACCCCCTTCTCCGCTGCCGCCCCCTCCGTACCTGTTTTCTTTGCCGTTTGGCAACAGCGATGGGCGCTCAGCCCCCGGGCGCTCTGTGCAAACATAGGTGTTTCTGCGGGTCATCATGCTGGGAGGGAGGTTGCTCTGTGGGAGACAAGGCCCACAGGGGAGTGAGGGGGTGTGGGGACACCCCTGCCCCCTCACTTCCCACCACCCCCCTACCCCGGCCTCCCTCATTGTGAATGAGGCAGAGGCTGGTGTGTAAATGGGCGGTTTACTCTGGGCTGAAGGACCCAAAGACACGAGCTTCGCCAGGCGTCCCAGCCATCAGGGCCGAGTCCCAAGGGGCCGCTGCACTGAGAGGAGGAAGGGGCAGGGTGGGGAAGGGTCCAGGGGGCAGCCTTGTCCATCTCTCTCCCCGCTCCACCGCCCCTTGGGACAGTCCATCCGAACTCTGTAAAGTATGTTCATGCCACACCGCATCTCTCCTCTCTGCACAGACTGTCTCATCTGCTTGGATATTCCTCCTACCTTCCCCCTGACTCACTGCAAAGCACGTCTGAGGTGTCACTTCTGATCTACCCCCGCCCCCGCCCCGGGCTGAGTCAGGTGCCTCCCCAGTGCGGCCTGGTTCACTCTGTATTGTCAACATCTGTTCACTGGCACGAACTTATCTGGCACAAAACTGCCAGCTCTCCGAGGACAGGAAACAGCCTGCCAGGAGCACGTCACCGTGTCAGCCGTACTGGGAAGTGATCCCTCTCTCTGACCTCAGGTGGTTTGTCTAAGATTGGTGTTTTTTATTTCATCATTTGGAAGAATTCCACGTTTAGAGCCATTTGGGTCTGGAATTTCATTTTTTAAGGGAAGGTCTGATGTAAAAACATAGTTCTCTTTTGCATTCTGATATTGACCATTCATATTTGCTACTTTTTAAAATCAGTCTTGCTAGGGGGTCCACTGCTGTAATTAATCTTTTTCTTCTTTTTAAAAGATGTTTATTGGTTTTAGGAAGGGAGAAAGAGGGAGAGAAACACTGGTTGATTGCTTCCCGGACACGCCCAACCTTGGATCAAACTTGTAGCCTAGCTGTGTGCCCTGACTGGGAATCGAACCGGCAACCTTTCAGTGTACAGAACAACACTGCAAGCAACTAAGCCACACTGTCCAGGGCTATTCATCTTTTCAAGAACCAGCTTTTGACTTTGTTGATTTTCTCTATTGTACATCTGTTTCCCCCTTTATCGACTCCTCTTTATTACTTCCTTCCTTCTACTTTTTTTGGGTGCTCATCCGCCGTTCCTTTTCTAGCTTCTTACGGTGGAGGTTCGCCTGCACAGTAACAGTAGCCCTCGGTGGGTGCCTTCCGAGGCAGGCACTGTGTGAGGTACACGATGTACAGACGCTCACCTCACAACAGCCCAAGTTTCTTCCTTTTTTTTTCCACATGCCAGGTGTTCTTTTAAAAGTCTGTTTTATTACATTATTACAGTTATCCCAAGGGTACCCCCTCTGCCCAGCATCCCCATTCCCTCCAGCGCTCCCCCAACTTAGTCAGGGCCATGGGTCGTGCATGTAAGGTCTTTCACTTCTCCATGTCCTACACTGTTCTTAACCTCCCCCCATCTATTTCCTACCTACCAATTACGGTTCTTATTCCCTCTACCTTTCGCCCCATTCTCTCCCTTCCCCTTCCCAGCTGATAACCCTCCATGTGATCTCCATATCTATGATTTTGTCCCTGTTCTGGTTGTTTGCTTAGTTTGCCTTTTTTTTTTTTTTTTTTAAGATTCAGTTGTTGATAATTGTGAATTTATTACCCTTTTAATGTTCATAGTTTTGATCTTTTTCTTAAACTCTCTTTAACATTTCATGTAATAATAGCTTGATGATGATGAATTTCTTTAGCTTTACCTTGTCTGGGAAGCACTTTCTCTGCCCTTCCATTCTAAATGACAGCTTTGCTAGACAGAGTCATCTAGATTGTAGGTCCTTGCTCTCTTTCACTCTCAATACTTCTCACTAGTCCTTTCTAGCCTGCAAAGTTTCTTTTGAGAAATCATCTGACAGTCTTAGGGGAACTCCTTTGTAGGTAATGGTCTCCTTTCCTCTTGTTGCTTTTAAGATTCTCTATCTCCAACCTTTGGCATTTTAATTATGATGTATCTGGGTGTGGTCCTCTTTGGGTCCAACTTGTTTGAGACTCTCTGTGCTTCCTGGACTTGTATGTCTATTTCCTTTGCCAAATTAGGGAAGTTTTCTTTCATTATTTTTTCAAATAAGTTTAGTTTCTTCCTCTTCCGGCATCCCTATGATTTGGATGTTGGTACATTAGGAAATGTCCCAGAGTCTTCTTATACTATCCTGTTTTTCTTTTTAAATTGTTTCTTCTTTCTGTTCTGGTTGGTTGTTTATTTCCTCCTTATGTTCCAAATTGTTGAGTTGAATCCCAGCTTCCTTCCCTTCATTACTGGTTCCCTGTGGATTCTTCTTTATTTCACTTAGTGTGACCTTCATTTCTTCCTTTATGCTGTTGCTATATGCAATTTCTTTGAGCATCCTGATCACCAGTGTTTTGAACTCTGCATCTTATAGGTTGGTTATCTCACTTTCGTTTATTTTTTTTATGGGATTTTGATTTGTTCTTTCGTTTGGGCCATATTTCTTTGTCTCCTCAATTTGGTAGCCTCCCTGTGTTTGTTTCTATGTGTTAGGTAGAGCTACTTTCATTCCCTCTAAAAGCCACCTGTAAATTGTGTGGGGTGGAGCCTTAGGTAACCACCAGAGTGGGGCAACCTGCTTCACCGCTTTGTGGCTGTGTTGTGGGGAGGGGGCTGTGGGGAGGGGCCTGGCTTCTGGAGGTTTGCCCAGCACTCATCCCGTTTCCAGTCACTTCACTTTCCAAATGCCACTGGTACCCTTCCAGCTCTTGCCCTGGTGGTGAGTCCCAGAGTGGGTGGGTTTGTGTACATTTTAAGACCGTGCAGGCCCTTTAAGCAGTTTCTGGAAAATCTGGCAGTTTCTTCCACTGCTCTAACCCCTACTCGTTTTTACAGCCAGAAGTTACACAGATTTATCTTCCTGGCCCTGGAACTCTGGGCTGTGCGGTCTGGCCAGGGGCTGGGATTGCTGGCTTCCAAGGTGTCCCTCCCGATTTTCATCCACCACACATGACCGCCGGACTGACCGGGCAGTTTCACCGCCCCTGCCTCTGGGCGCCACACCGAGTCACGGCCCCTCCCTCTCTGTGTCTCCGCCCCTCCTCCCCGTCTGGGTGAATGCATCTTCTTTAAATCCTTGGTTGGACTTCCATACAGTTCGATTTTCTGACAGTTTTGGGTGTTTTTTGTTTTGAGATCTAGTTGTAATTCCTTTTTGTGGTTGTGTGAGGAGGCGAAGCATGTCCACCCACGCTTCCACCTTGACGGGAACTCATCCCGTTTCTTCATACGCTCTTTGCACAGGGTGGCGTTTGAAGCTCAGAGAGGTAAAGTCATTCGTTTGCTCAAGGACACACAGTTTGCCGAACTTGGTCTATGTGGCTTCCTGACCACTTCCCTATAACCCACCTCCCTTGTGCCCCCATATTGAGGGGTTTTGCTTCCTTCAGCCCGCACCGTACATTCTAGGAGCTGCAGAAGCAGGGAAAGCCAAAGACTACCCTCCCCAGAGGCATCTACAGTGCAGGTTCTCGGCAGGAGTGGGAGCTGCCAACCTGCACTCAGAACATCTAGAAGGTAGAATCCGGGGGGCAGCCACCGTCCTCCCCACTTTGATCTTTGCTCACATACACCAGGTCACGAGGGTCTTTGCTTTGGCAAGGCCCCAGTGCCCAATCTCCAGACCACTGGGTGCCAAGAAGCCCTTCTGGTCGAGGATGAAGTCTTTGGGTCTTGCACTGCAGCCGTGACCATGTGATTTGAATTCAGTGGGGCTGGAGGTAGCCTCAGAGGTGAAAGCTCCCTTGGTGGGTCTCATGTGCTGTAACAAGGTGTCTTACCCAGAGGTCTAGTCGTTTGCCCGGCCCTCCAGCCCTCCTTACAGTTTTGTAAGGACCACACTTAATTCCCTGAATTAAATCCTTCCCACTCGTTGCATGCTTCTTTCCGACACTGAACGGTGATTTACGCACCGACATCGAGCACAAGATGAGGCAAAGAGAGAACGCTCAATGAATGTCTGTTGAATGAATGAATGGAAGTAGCACGGAGTCCTGTGTGGTGGCCTGAAGACAGCATGGGAAACACTGGGATTTGAAAAATTGTGAGCCCAGCGGCCTCTGTAGGCTGGGCCTCAGGCGGTCATAACCCCAACCCTGCCCTTCTGCCCCGGCGACTCACGGGGGTGCTCGTGCTGTCCTTCCGCCGCTCTGGGATCTCTGCCTTGTTGGGGTTGTGGGCGCTGCTGACCATCGGGCTGGAGGGGGGCAGCCCTCGGCTCCCGCTGCCGGCAGCGCTGCAGCTCGCCTTCCGGCTCGGCAGGCGCTCCTCCTTCAGCTCCGCCTCCCCCGTGCTGGTTGGGCTGCGCTTGGGGTGCAGGGGTGCGGGGGATGGGCCGCCTGGTGGAAGAAGGGGACAGTTAGGGCTGGCGTCACCTGGAAAAGCCAGAATCTACTCTGGGTGATCCCAGGAACCTTCGAATTCCTCGCGTACAGCATTCTGACAACACCTGCCAAAACGACATGTGCGCATATTCTGACCCGGAAGCTCCACAGTAATGACACGATGCATAGAAACGGGGGTGGATTGTGTTTTTAAATTTTTTTTTAAGGCCCAAAGATGGGAAACTACCTGAATAGCCCTTAACAGGGGAACAGCGAAATAAGTCAAGGTACTTCCACACAGCGGATTATGCAGCCATAAAGAGGGGTGATAAAACTCCTCGTGTAGCAAGAGAGAGATCTGTACAACGCAATGCAAAGCAGGCCTAGAGGATGCCATCATTTATGTAAGAAAGGGGGGCTCCGGCTGGTGTGGCTCAGTGGATGGAGCGCTGACCTGTGAACCAAAGGGTCACCGGTTCAATTCCCAGCTGGGGCACATGCCTGGGTTGTGGGCCAGGTTCCCCAGTGTGGGGCGTGCGAGAGGCAACCACACATTGATGTTTCTCTCCCTTTCTTTCCCCCTCCCTTCCCCTCTGTGTAAAACTAATTTTTAAAATTTTTAATGAAAAGGAGGGGAGTGCATATCCACACATATCTGCTTATTTTTATCTCCTTGTTTATATATGAACACATCCAAAAGGCTATCATCTACATCACAGGGGAGAATATTGTCTTTATAGTAAACTAATATGTTAACATAGTATTTACATCTTTTTCTTAATCCTCACTCAAGGATATATTTACTGATTTTTAGAGAAAAAGGGAGATAGAGAAAAAGCGATGTGAGAAACATCAATTGGTTGCTTTCTGCATGCACCCCAACCAGAGATCGAACCCACAATGTGGGTCTGTGTCCTGACCGGGGATCGAACCTGCAACCACTTGGTGGTGGGATGATGCTCCAACTGAGCCACTTAGCCAGGGCATGTTAACATAGACTTTATATCTTTAGATGTGCCTTTTCTTTCTCCTTCTTTTCATACCTATGCTTTTATATGTTTATAAATGAAACATCTTCAAGAGAATTGATATAAAACCAGTAACAGGGGCTGTTTCCAAGGAGAACAAGTTTGGAGGGCTTGCAGAAATGTGTTGAATGAAAACTTACTGTACTATCCAATTCTGAGGCATGTTGGCTGTTTTTGTTTTTTTTTTTTAAACAGTTTTTTTTTAAAGCCACCTCTCTGTGGGTTATTTTTTTTAAGATTTTATTTATTTATTTTTAGGGAGGGAAGGGAGGGAGATAGAGAGAGAGAAACATCAATGTGCGGTTGCTGGGGGTTATGGCCTGCAACCCAGGAATGTACCCTGGCTGGGAATCGAACCTGGGACACTTTGGTTCCCAGCCCGCGCTCAATCCACTGAGCTATGCCAGCCAGGGCGGCTGTTTTAATTTCAAAAACAGAACCAAAAAGGACTCGTGGACAAGAACAACAATGTAGTGATTGCTGGTGGGAGGGAGGTATAAGGGCACTAAATGGTAATGGAAGGAAAAAATACAATAAAGATGAAAACAAAACAAAACAAAACAGAACAGAACAGAACAAATCTCGCCCCTTAGAACATCTTAGGAATGTACGGTTTCAGAACCAGGGGGTTAAACATATTCTAGAACTTCAGACAGGAACTTCTGTTACATCCTCAGGAGCCTTAATGGTCCAAATTCCAGAACCACACAGGAAAAGCTCCACAATGACAGACACGGGCACCGCCCACGATCCTTGGCCCCGAACGCCCTCGCAACCCAGGTCTCCACGTGGAGTTTTGGAGGGTTCCACGTTCTAACCACAGGATGTGGGAGTTACGAATTTCTCGGGGACTTCCTGGGCCAATCTTGCTATTCTTCGGGGTGGGGAGACCCCAGGGACGAGAATGGCTGGACCTCCCAGAACCACGCACATCCTGCTCAGGTAGGGCTGCGTGTCCTGACCCTCCTCTCCCGCACTAGCACCCGACCCAGAGTAAAGAGCTTCAGCCCTGGTGAGAGGCAGGGCCGTTCCTGCAGCTGTCATATGTAAGATCAGTAGCATATTACCCAGTAATTCCATTCCCGGGTACATGCCCGAGAGAAGTGAAAACGTATGTCCACAAAAAAGAAATCGTACGCATTCACAGCAGCATTATTCACAGGGGTCAAAAGGTGGGAACAGCCCAAAGGTCCATCAGCGGGTAAATGGATGAATAAAACGTGGTCTCTCCAGGCAATGGGATGTCGGGCAATTAAAAGCAAGGGAGCACAAATCCAGGCTACAGCATGGAGAAACTTTGAAAACATAGTCCTAAGTGAAAGGAGCAAGACACGAAGGTCACATACTGTGTATCTCCACTTATACAAAATGTCCAAGGGCAGACAGCAGGTTCATTGTCAGGGGCTGGTGGGATAGTGTGGAGCAGGGATTTGGTGGGGGCTAATGAAAATGTTCTAAAATTGATTGTGGTGATGGATACACAACTCTGTGAACATATTAACACCACTGAATTGTGCACTTTGAATGGGTGAATTATATGGTATGTGATTTATCTCTTAATGAAGTTGTTCAAACGTAGCGGGGAGGATTAACATTGGATGAGGGTGTAGGTAAGAGACCTCTCAGGAGTTTCCGTGCCTAACCTGCGGCGGTGTCTATTTGTTCTGTGCAGGGGATGGGGTCACGTTCAGGTATACAATGTGGGGTACAATGAGGTGTCTGTACAGCCCCTTTCCACTGGTAAGGAAAGGCCTCCTGTCTTTTCTATGTGGGGAAGCTGCCTGAGGGCAAGCTCTCCGCAGCCACTTTGCACACTGTGTCCTCCTGTTGCCCCAACCACAGTGGATGAATCCCAATGCGACCCTGTATTAGAGCTCTATCCCTGACAACTGAACTAACGACATTTCCAGGTGCAACTTGAGCTGGTTTCTTTTGAAACTGAGACACAAGGAACCGAGAGAGAGGAAAAAACAAATGAGCAGAGAGCAAGCAAAATATAGTGCTCTGCATCTTCCTGTTTTTCCCAGTTTCTCATCCTTCCCTGAGCCTGGCTGCGAATTCCTGCCTCCGAGTTCCATGCAGCGTTCCCACATCTTTATGAGAAAGCCCTCTCTTTGATGCAATTGGCTGGAGCAGCCTTCTGTCACTTGCCAGCCGGAGAACCCTAAGTCATACAGGGCGAAGGCCCGGGGGCTGGGGTAGCGTGTGCGGGCGTGGGGTCACACTCACAGAAGTCACTATGCCTGCGCTGGCGGTGGTAGGTGGAAGAGGAACTCCGTTGCCCTTTGCTGTGGCTGGTGCCTTTGCTGGAGCTGGTTCCGTTGGTGGTGTCGCTGGGCGCCCGCACCCTTGCCAGGGCCAGCGCTGGAGCGCCCCGGTCCCCACCCTCCTGCGGGAGGACGACAGACAAGGAGCCTCAGCCCCGTGTTCCCTCTGCCGCAGAGGGCCCTCCACCCCAGGCATCGCACATCCCGAACACCCCGGCACCTCTGACCTCAGTCTTCCTGCCCAGCAGGAGGTAGGTGGCGGTCACTTCATTGTACTTCTGGCTGGTCAAGGCCTCTTTGATTTCTTCCCGAGTGTAGCCCATACCCACCATCACCTCTGAGAGAAGGGCAGAGAGGAGGTTCAGTCTCCCCTTCCCTTCCACATTAGCAAGTCCTGCTCTTTGGCCAGCCCAGCACCTGCCCATCCCCCTTCTGCCAGCACTGCCCTGACCTTCCCTGGCACAGCATTCCTTTCCCACTCAGGCATGTGACCCAGGTCTGGCCAATCAGCATGTTCCATACCCAAAGTCCCACTGATTGGTTCATAGTGGGCATCATATGACCCAGTTTTGGCCAATCAGAACATTCCATTCCTAGGCCATATGGATTGGTTCAGGGGCAGCCAATGGGCACCAGCCTAGTGCTTTTCCTGGTACATTAGGAAGTGGCTCTTTCCTGGTGAAGTGTCCAGGCCACTAGGATTAGCTGTCACCACCTTGCTCCTGGGGGTGGGGAGAAAAGCCACCACTTAGAGGAGTCTCAACAACTCTTTCTGACACCTGGATCCAGCCGTGTCTGAAGGCCTTTCCAGTTATATGTGAATAACTTACCACTATTAGGTTAAACCCTATGAGACCGTGGGTATTGACAATTTTTAAACTATAACAGCAGCAATTTCATATGGTTCGATCTCTCGTTCTCTGGCTTAAGCCAGAATGGCATGGGTTTCCTGTTACTTGCAACTGTGAATGTCCTGATGATGGCAGCCCCCTCTGACAGGGGCCTCGGTTTCCTCAGCTACGGAATGGGGGTTACTACACGGTCCCCACGGGGCTCTCCCGGGGCTAATGCTCGAAGGGCCAAGTGTTGGAAGGTTCTAGGCTGGAGGGACCGGGACCAAAGGAGTAGAGGGAGGGGCACGTACCAAGCTGGGGGCTTTCCCCAAACATTCCCATTCCCGAGGACTCGTGCCCAAACTCTCTGCAGGTGACGTGGGACATCTTTCTGTGTCTTACTGGTCAGAGCTAACACACATCAGCACTCACTACCTGCCTAATGCAAAGTGCTGTATGCAGATGCACTCACTCGATACTCATAACACCGTGAGAGAGGTTCTAGGAATACTCCATTGTACAGACAAGCAAACAGACGCGCTGGGAAGGGAGGCCGCTTGCCCAGGGTCACACGGCTAGAAAGGGGCAGGACAGGGCCTGGGGCCTAGACTTCCCTGCTCTCCCAACGGCCCTGCAAACTTCCCTGATGCACTAACCAAAGGGGTGGGTGCTAGGAAGCCCCCCCCCCCACCCTGGCTCTGCAGAGGTGGGGCACCCGCGCCCCCAGACCCTCACCGATTCGCTTGGTGTCCCCAAAGTCCTCCTCCGGCTCTGTGTATGGCTTCAACTCCTCACCCTCATAGCCGATGTTGATCCATTTGTCTTTCATGATTTGCTGCAGGGATCGGTGCAGGACAGGGAAGGAGGAAGACGGATGTCAGGAGAAACCAGGAAAAACACAGGTTCCCACCTCCAAGGTCTAACTCCCCAGAATTGAGGGCTTCCAGAGAACTAGCACCTCCTAGCCCCACCCCACCCCCTGCCGGAGCCTCCTGATGCTGTGCTCCCGCCCTGCTCCCCCACAGCATCATCTGGGCCCCTAGCACCCTGTAATTATCCTAGAAGCTCATTAGCTAATTACTGGCATGGTGGGGAGTGGGCGAGGCTGTTGGGTGAGGGATGGTGTCAGGACTGGCCTGGGGCCTTTTCCTGGGTTGCCCGGCTCCCTCCGCACCTTCCGGCAGTGGATCTTAGGCAGGTGGGCAGGGGACAGGGCAGGTGTGGATGAGGCGGCTGCAGTGGGAGGGGCATGGGGCCGGAGGCGTACCTCGAGAGTGCAGCGTTTAGCTGGGTTCAGCACCAAAAATCTCCGCAGGATGCTCTCACAGTCTGTTGACATGTAGAAAGGGACCCGGTACTTCCCTCTGAGGACTCGCTCCCGCAGCTCCTGGGCGGGCAGGGGGACGGACGGATGGCGTTACTGGGGGAGGGGTCCACCCTGCCTCTCCACCCATCACACACACACACACACACACACACACACACACACACATTCATCTTTGTCCCAGCCTTGCACGAGGTGGGCGGAACCCCACCCCCTCCTGACCTCAGTCCCCCACTTGTAAAGTGGGAGCACGCTACTAACTGCGGCAATTTTCAAAAATACAAATACCAGTTTAAAGCTACACAACCTTTCAATCAGAGGAGACCTTCCAGAGAAAGGGAACTGCAGAAGCCAGGTAAGAGGCAAGAAAGTGAAACTGTATCAGCCTCTGGGCCTCAGTCTCCTTATCTGTAAACACCTCCTTCCCAGGCCAGGGTGTGAATGGGTTTAAAGAAGTAAGTCCTAGGGCCTGCCAGGCCCAGAGCAAGTGCTATTTAAATATTAGATTTGCAAAAGGGGAGGCAGGAGGGGGCTCTTGCCTCTACCCCTCCATCCTTCATACCTCCCCCAAGATGTGTCTGCCTTTCTGAAGAGCTACCAGGACCTGGAAGTCTCAAAAGATAAGCTCTCCTTTATATGCTGACCTTGCAAGAGAAAATAGCCCTAGCTGGAATGGCTCAGTGGATTGAGCACTGGTCTGTGAACCAAAGGGTTGCCGGTTCGATTCCCAGTCAGGGCATATGCCTGGGTTGCAGGCCAGGTCCCCAGTTGGGGGCATAAGAGAAGAAACCACACATCGATGTTTCTCTTTCTCCCTTCCCCTTTCTCTAAAAATAAACTTTTAAATCTTGGGGGGAAAAAAGGGAAAGTAAAGTCTATGCTACATGGCATGGCGGACCAGGGAGAGCCCCTTCCATCCTGAATAAGGAACAGAAAAAGAGAGAAAATGGGGGAGGAGAGGGGAGGGGCCTGGGCTGGAAGAGGCATGTGCCTGGGAAGCCTCCTGGGTCCGAAGATCGTTACAGCCCAAAGGGTCGTTAATATTTCATACGAGCAAGTATCGCTTTCAGAGCACTCGCACTGAGTGGGCAGGCCTCCGAGATCTTCGCGCATGTCACGTCCGTGTTCATGACAGCGCTGTGGAGCGGGGCCGTGATGCCCATCTCCCAGGGGAGGAACAGGCCTGGAGAGGTTAAGTCACTTGCCCTGGGACTGCACAGCCAGAAAGTGGCGGCTCCGGAGAGTCGTGTAACCGCCGCCACCACACTACCTGTCCCGGCCCGGAGAGCAGCAGCCACAGGGCCACGGCCGCTCCCTCCAGAGATGCCCCCGAGTGGGACCCCCCAGCCAGATGCCAGGGCCTAGAGAAGGGCTTTATATACCCACTGTGGCTACAAGTGGATTCTCTTTATGTCCCCACCTGTAGATGGGGGACCCGAGGTTCAGAAAGAGACATGTCCAAGGTCATTCATCAAGGAAATGACAGAGCCGAGATTTGTCCCCAGCTGTGTCTCCTTCACCCAGCGAAGTGACAAGGGCCTAGAGCCAGTGAGGTAACAACAGCCTGGGGTGCTGAGCTGCTGGCCTGGTCCTTTGCAAAGGTCTCTTGGCTTCGTGCTCAGGGCTCAGCGAGATTACTCTGATAGTGAGCACTTTCCCGCCTTGTCTCGGCAAGTCCGTGCACCGCTGCTACCAGGCTGGCACTTCATAGCCCTCACTGAACACAGGGGACACTGATGCTCAGAGGGGCCGGCCGCTTGGCCAAGCCCGCGGTGAAGAAGGGTCTCTTGCTCTGATGGCCTATCCTCAGCAAGGACTTCCCTGGACCCCTGACCACCCCCATGGGCTGCATGGAGCAGGGCTGGGCATTTCTGCCATGGAATTCCCACCCGGACCCAATGGGGAGGACGCGCGGGGTGACCCACTGAGCAAGGTCCTGCAACATAACTGGCCTGCATGTGGCTGCACATGGCTGCAGCACCACGTCAGGAGGACACAGAAAGCGGAGGAAGTGACCCAGATGAAAGGACGGGGCAAGCAGGCACAGCGCAGGAGCCCGAGCAGATGCCGGAGCAGGAGGAAGAGCCACCGGGGGTACTCTCGGGACTACTGGTGAAGTCTGACTACAGACCGTGAGTGAGAGGCCATGGCTGCACCATCGCTGAATTTCCTGAGTGTCACAGCGGACGAGAAAATGCCCTGATCTTGGGGGACAACACCTGCTGTATGTCGTCGTTTTGGGCTAAAGAACACTGTGTCCGCCACTAACTCCCAACCGCCCCCTTGACGCCCAGGTCACGGGACGCACCGTGAGCACGCACAGACACGACACACGTGGCCCCGTGCTGGCGGCGGGCGTGTCACCTGGAAGGCATCACACTGTTTCCTGTTCTAGTTCTGCAGCTTTTCTGCAGACCAGCGATATTTCAGTGTTTCAGAACAGAAAGCTCAAAGAAAAAGGGAAACCACAATGCTAAAAGCCACCCGCCCTCCCCACCCCTCCCCCCAGCCTGGGTAGCACTGGCCGGCGTCCGAAATGACAGGCTGCGCTTATCCGTGTGGGTTTTGGCCTGGCTCTGCTGCTGAAACGTGGGCCCGCGGGGGCGGGTTGGTGTGTGACGTGCATAGTCCACGGTTTCTCGTGGAACCCGAGCTGTGCCAGGCATCACCACAGTCGGTTTCAGGCTGTGTTGTCGCCAGCTTCCCCGCCCTCCCCGGGCTTCGGTGAACACTGGTCTGCTCCCCATTCCTGGGACTAGCCCTGCCCCGGACACTGCACTGGAGCGCAAGCATGCAACACGTGGCCTTTTGTGATGGGCTTTTCCAACTTAGCATGCTTCCGAGGAGGGCTTGTGGGGTGGCGTGTGTGCAAGGCATGGGTGTCTGCCTCTCTGGTTCACACAATATGGGCAAACCTAATGCAGCCTGACCCACGGATGGTGGGCTGGGACTTGAACCTCAGCTCACCAGCTGCAAAGCCCATGACCTGAACCCCAGTGGACACAGCATGGTCCACTTGGGCTGGCCACCCGGCCCCTGCCTCCACCTCTACCTTCATATGGCGTGGGGCCAGCCCTGCCCCTCTGCACTGGAGGCGTGGGGGGGGCCGAGGCTCGGAGAGACCCCCCAGGGAGAGGGAGACCCCACACCAGCCCCGCCCAGCACCTTGAGGTTGTGCCCATCGAAGGGCAGGGAGCCGCTGACGAGGGTGTACAGGATGACGCCCAGGCTCCAGATGTCCACCTCCGGGCCGTCGTACTTCTTGCCCTGGAACAGCTCCGGGGCAGCGTACGGGGGGCTCCCGCAGAACGTGTCTAGCTTCGAGCCCAGCGTGAACTCATTGCTGAAGCCAAAGTCGGCGATCTTGATGTTGGCCTCGGCATCCAGCAAGAGGTTCTCGGCCTGGTGGGGAGGGAGAAGGCAGAGGGTGGACACGTGTGGTGGGCGGGAGCCCGGGCTGGAGCTGGCCCAGCTGGACTGACTGTGGCCCTGCCCCTTCCTCCCTGTGACCCTGGGCAGTGACTTCGCTCTCTGGGCCTCGGTTTCCTCACCCATAGAATGGGGATAATCGCAGTTCCAATGCACAGGGCTGTTAGAGAATTAAGTGAGTTAATCTACACGGAAGGCCTATGGGACAAAACTCTGTACCCATCAAGCATGTTATATAAGGTTAGCTATTATTGCCTCACGTGCTCAGCAGAGCTGGGCCCTGTCCTCTGAGCCTCAGTTTACCCAGCAGAATAAAAAATGAGGACTGACTGCTCAAGACCCATAAAAGGGAAAACAATCATTTTATCCAAAACGTATTACACACCTACTATGTTCCAGGCTTCATGGACTACTTATTTTAAGACTGGCCACATAACACAGGGAAAAGAGTACAGATTCTGGGAGAATCTCGGCATCGAATCCCAGCTCCAAATCCCAGCTCCGCCACTCACCCTCTGTGTCACTTTGAGTGGGTCACCAGACTTCTTTGTGCCTCAGTTTCCCTATACGTCAGCTGAGGGTAGTCACAGCACCTGCCTCACAGGCGGCCGTGGGGTGAAGCGTGAAGCACCTACCACGGCGTGAGGGATGATGTGGTCGGCACTCAGCAAGTTTTTTGTATCGTGGCTGCCTTTGGAGGCACGTGTTCTTGAAATCGCCACTTCACTGGTGACCCCTCACCAGTGAGGGGTCTCCCCTCACTGAGGCTCAGGGAGGCTGCCTCATGTCCACAGCGGGGAAGCAGCAGAGCTGGGACCCGAAAGACCTGGCCTCTCCACAGCCTGAGCGTGGAAGGTGCCTCAGCACCCTGGCTCTCCCAGCTTTGCGCCTACAACTCAACGCTCACACCCACCCTTCAGAATCCTGCCCACGGGGGGCCCGTGCCAGCCACGGCCCTATCCTAGCCAGGCCACCAGAATCCGGGTTCCTCGTGGTCCCCTTAGCTCTTGCTGTATTTTGGTACCACCCCTTCCTGCCTCTGACCCAACATGGGGATAAAATCCACAAAGACACACACTTCAGACAGATCTTCCCCAAACCTCAGTCTAGCTCCTTGGTGACATTTGTGGCATCTGGCCAGCCTCAGCCCCACATCTGGGTTGGTCCCTGGTGCACCAGCCAGATCCTGAAATCCCTTTTAGACACTTCCTGAACCCTCCACCAGGGGGCGTGCCTCCTCCAGGTTCATCTTCACACTTGATGCTACCCTCACAGGGCACCTTAGGGATGATGCTCCCTCAGGGGGCAGTGTGGGGTCAGGGCAGCCCAGAGGGAGGGGGTGTTCAGAAATTTCCACAGCCATTTGACAGGGCAATTTTATGTTTGTTTGTTTTTTTTTAATCTAAGTATACTTGTAAAAATTTGGCTTGTATTTTGTTACATCTTTTTTCATTTCGTTGCTGCACTTTACAAAAGTAGCACTCCACACCACCCGGGACCGGGGATGGAAAACACTAACACAAACCTGGTCCCTCCCTGAAGAATCTCGAGAAGCACCTCCTTAATGCACGGAGCCTGGCACATAGTAGGGCTCAAGAAATCACAGTCAAGAGAAGTTAATTTGGGCCAAATGTTTTGTCTCTCTGGTCTAACACAAGAAGTCCTAAGGTGTGAGGTTCTCTCCGGGTGGGAGGTGTGGACCGGGGACTCGGGACCGGAGCTACTCGAGGGGCCTGGCCAGGCAGCAGGGTCCGGGCGAGGAGACCCTTCCCTGATGAGCGCTGGCCTTGAGGGTTCTCACACAAAGGTCCTTCTCAAGTTCTGAGATGCCCTGGAGTCTCAGACCCTGTGGGCATCAATTCTCAAAGATTCCTGAATGTTCTCGAGTCTGAGAGACACCCAGAATCTGCAGGCTCTGAGAGTGACGAACTCCATCTCAGCCCAGTGTCCTCGCCCAGTACACATGCAACGTGGGCCGTTCTAGACACTTTGTTTCTTCCCCTTTGTTTGCTCTGCTGGTCCCCACCCCCGACTCGCTCATCTGATGGCCTTGCTTCTGCCACAGAAGGCCTGGGAAAGAGCAAGGGGCCCCGGCCTCCCAGGGAGAAGCACGAGGAGGAAAGTGGGGAATGTGGTAGAGGGTAGAGGGGGACCCCGAGGGACCGGAGGTGGGCTGAGCTGGGAGCTCCCAGCGGGGTCGGGGGGCTCACCTTCAGGTCCCTGTGGACAATGTTTTTCTGGTGACAGTAGTGCACAGCCGATACAATCTGGGGAGGCGGGGAGGGGAGGCAAGGTCCATTACTTGTGGCCCCTGAACCCCTCAGCCTTCCTCGGAGACCCTGTGAGCCCAACTCACAGCTGAGTCCCTGGGCCCCAGGCTGCGCCGAGGCACAGGCGGAGATGCCGGGGCCTTGCACCCTGACTCGGCCACAGCTGGGAGGGCCGTGGGGCCTCCACAGACACTCACCTCCACTCAGACACCCAGACGCCTTCACAACCAGATTTTAGGATGCCCACCTGGCAGGGACGCTGGCACTAGGACCAGGACTAAGACACGAGGACCAGCCCCCTTCTGACTTTCACATCGGACACATGCATGAGAAGGTCGAGACCAGTAGGTGGCCCAACACTCAGGGCCGGAAGTCCCCCACTCCCTGTACAGCTGCGCCAGGGCCGCTGGACAGCTGTGGACTGACACCCTTCCTCAGGCCCCTCTACCCATGGAACCCTCCCACCTGGTGATCGCTCAGCTATGGGGGCACCCTCACAGCCGCGTGTTTTTCCCAGCCCCTGAACACCCTCACGTGCGCCTCATCACCACACACCCAGAGTGACACACCTTCTTATCCACTTGGACATCCTTACAGCACACGACCCACACACCCATACCTGGGCCCCGCCCACACTCTTGCACCTGTGCATCCTCACTGCCACACATCCGGAACCGCACGCCCTCTTCCCCCACACCTGGATACCCCGGCACCGCATGCCCTCTCACCCGCCGACTTACACATGCACCTGAGCCCCTCACCTGGACACTCAGGCTGCCATACACGCTTTTACCCACCTGTCTATGCTCCTGTGTACCCGGGCACCCATATCTTTGAATCCACATTCCTGCACTCACACCTCAGCACCCCGGTACCTCCAAGCCCTCTTAGCCACACTCCGACACACTGGGCGCGCCCTGGCACCTGCATACCTGACACCTGCACACCTGGGCTCCCTCCTGCCTGCCTCTGTCACCCACTGAATGGGGCACCTGCACACCTACACCTGGAGAGCCTCACACCTGGGCACCTGCACACCCATGGACACCCAACTCTCCAGCTTCACCCCCACCCAGACTTAAGCCACGCCTCTGTCACCACGCCCAGCAATCAGGCACCCCTCCCAGCCCCACCTGCAGCTGGAACCCCTACCTGTCGGAACTTGGCTCGAGCTTCCTTCTCCTTCATGCGGCCGTGCGACACGAGGTAGTCAAATACTTCTCCTGCAGGGCAAAGGCCGAGGGGGTGAGGGCGGGGCACGGAGGGGGTGCCCAGGGAGCAGGGTGGGTAGGGGAGGGGCCTCACCAGCACTTGCATACTCCATCACTAGGTACAGTGTCTTCTCGGTCTCGATCACCTCGAAGAGCTTCACTGCAATGGGCAGAGGGAAGGCGGTCATGGAGGATGCCACCACCCACACTCAGTAACTATGCAGACATGCCAGACCATGGCACCCCTTACTCAAGAATACTCAATGGCTCCCTACTGATGGCAGATTTCCCACTCCTCAGCCCCACTTCACAACCCTTTCTACTGTCTCTCTCAGAAGCACATCAGCTCAGCTCCAAGAGGCCAAGGACTGTGCCTGTTTCCTCCACCACTGGGTCCCCAACATCTGACACATAGTGGGCCCCCAATAAATATTTACTGAGTAAACATACAAAGGATAAATAAATCGTGCGGCCACATCCAGGCCTGGCCAAATCCTGCTCCTGTTGGTGAAGAGCCCTTTCTCTCTCTCTCCCCTGCCTGATGACAATGACAATGGTTGCTACTGATGACAATAATCAGCCCGGCTCCCACAGATTAACTCTGAAGTGAGTGTTCTGCATGCACGATCACATCCAATCCTCACAATGACCTTGATGTAGGTCCTCCTATCACTCGCACTACCGAGGAGGAAACTGATGCTCAGAGAGGTTAAGTGACTTGGCCAAGGTCACAGAGCCAGCAGAGATACTGCTGGGAGAAAACCAGCTCTTTCTGACAATGATAACCACCAGTTCTCCCACGCCCCTGACCCTCTCCTTTCCCATGGGCCCTGGTGGGCAGCCTCGGGGCCCACTCCCTTCCCCTCCTCACCGATGTTGGGGTGATTTAGACCCTTCATGATACGAACTTCTCGGAACAGCTGGAAGAAAGGAAGGAAGATGAGAGTGGCTGGTTTTGAGGACCCTCCTCCCAGCCGCACCCCCACGCTCTCCCTCTCCCCGGCCTCACCTTCTGCAGGCTGCTGGGGTTCAGCTGGGTTTTGTCGATGATCTTGATGGCAACCTGGAGGTCAAAGGAGGGGGAAAAGGTCAAGGTGCCCCAACTCAGATCACCCTGGCCATTCCTAGTGGATGGGAATCTGGGCCTCAGGACCTTTGCACATGCTCTTCTCACCGTGTCCAGAGCTGCCCTTACTTTTATAAGGAACAATTCCCTATTCCCTAGTGGGGCCTGCGTGGCGCTGCTCCAGGGGCTCATCTGAGTGTGTGAGAGTGACCGATACCTTGAGGGGGCCCTTTGGGAGGGCGGCTCATACCATTCATCCATCACATCTTTGTTTTAATGCACAAACTGTGGAGCAGTAAATAAAAACTATAGCTAACGTTTACTGACCAGTCCCATGCACCAGGCCCCGGTTTACACGCATTACAAATGGTAACTCTCTCAACCCTCACAACACCCCTGTGAGACGGCTGCGAGAACGAATCCCATCTTACCAATGGGGAAACTGAGGCATGGAGCCATCCTGTTACTTGGCCAAGGTTATGTGGCTACTAAGTTTGTGGCCTGGGATATGGACCTATACAGCCTAACGGAGTCTACCCCTTGAACATGTACAACTTAAATATATATATATAAGTTTATTTTTAAAAAGATTTTTATTTATTTATTTACTTATTTATTTCCAGAGGGGGGGAAGGAAGGGAGAAAGAGAGGGAGAGGAGCATCAATGTGTGGTTGCCCCTCATGCACCCCCTACTGGGGACCTGGCCTGCAACCCAGGCATGTGCCCTGACTGGGAATCGAACTGGCAACCCTTTGGTTCACAGGTTGGTGCTCAACCCACTGAGCTACACCAGCCAGGGCTATATATAGTTTTAAAAGAGCTTTGAGGCAGTAATCATGGGGGACAATCAGAATGTTATTGACATCTCCTTATATTTATCTTGTTAGACAGAATTCCGCCCCCCGGAGGCCCCGCCCCCTTAGACCCCAGTCCTCTGAGAAACCCCTGGAATCGCATTCCAGAGGCACAGAAGGTGAATGACGTGTCCTCTGTGGGGGAGAGGGTCCCTTGGCTTTCCTCAGAGGCTCACGAATGGGTTTTTAATTCTGTCAGGCACTTCGTATGCCAGTACCGAGGCGATCATATGGTTTCTCTCCTTGAATCTGTGAACGTGGCGAAATACAGGAATAAATTGTGAGTCTGGAAGGAACTGTGCATCCCCGGGATGAGCCCAGCTTTGTTACCACACGGCTCGCTCTGGGTTCTGTATCTACGTTCCCACGTGAGGCTAGCCCATGAATTTATTTCTTATCTGCTTCTGCAGTCCCTGTCGAACTAGCATGTGACATCATTTGGGCAGTGGCACCTCTTTCTTCAGTCCTGGAAGGACTGCCATGAAATGGGAGTGTTTGGCAGGGTTTGCCCATAAAGCCACTGGGGCCTAGTGTCTGTGTGAGTGTGGCGCAGACAGGGAGAGGGCAGGAGAGAGCTCCTCCCAGGCAGGAGGAATCACGCCCATCACTTGCTCTGAAATCAAAGGGGGTGCAGAGGAGTCAGGAACCCACCCACCACCTCTTTTCCCGTTTAGCTGACGTACAGGTGTCACACCTAGGTTCCAGCAACTGCGAGGGCCCTGGCTGCAACAATGTTGCCATACTTAGGACACCCGCCTGCTCTGTGAGGGGAGGCAAGGTGCATGTGTCATTGAGAAGGCCAATGAACACTGTGTTCTCCTGGAGATCATTGAAGATCTGGTGGCATCAAAGTCCACCGTTATCACAGGGAGGTTGCCCAGGTTTAGACACAAGGTTACAAAAGGTACAGGAATTCTTAAAAACACAGCACACAGCTCTGCCTGTGATTTGAAGTTTCCAGACAATTTCAAGGATGCCTGAAATTAGTTCTCTTCTCCTCCATGGGCTCTTCTGGAGAAATCTCAGATGTCGTGTCCCAAAGAGAGGCAGGGACTTCCCTGAGGCCGTAGAGGAAAACAAGGGCCAAGCCCGCCATGTCCCATCACCCATACAGCACCAGTGCCTCGGGACCGATCCCCCGAGCCGCACCCATCCCCGCCACTCACCTCCCGGCCGGTGAGGATGTGCCGGGCCAGCTTGACTTTGGCAAAGTTGCCCTTCCCGATGGTCCTCAGCAGGCGGTAGTTGCCCACGTGGGGCTGCTCCTCGGGGCAGGAGGCGATGGAATTCCGGCAGCGGGCGCCCAGGGAGCGGCTGGACCAGGATGGCCCTTTGTCCGAGGAGCGGCCACTGCCCAAGGTGCCATGCTGGGTGGGGGAGACGGAGCATGAGGGGGGGGCAGCGCCTGTGCAGACCCCGCCTTCAGCGGGACCCAGCGCTGGAGCAGTTAACTCCAGCAGCTGCGGCCGCTTTACAAGCCCAAGCCAGGGCGAAGCGAGAGGCCTTTGGGTCTCCAATCTCTCTCTACAGAAAGACGCCTCCAAGAACAAAAACTCTGGGCCCCCGCCAACTCTGCAGCAGCCAGGTCCCCAGACATCAGGTCTCTCCTTCAGCCCTCCCTGTTGTCCCCGTGCCCACACCTTCCCTTCGTAATTACCGGGACCTCCATCGGCCGAGATACTTTGTTCCAAACACTGCAGCCTCAACCCCCACCAGCGCTGACCTCGACCTCGACCTGGTCTTGACACTCCCCCCCACCCTCACTGCCTCCAACACCCTATTTTCTCCATCGCTGTCCCCACTGCAGCCCCCAAATTCTCTTCCAAAACCCAAAGCCAATACCATGTTTTATTTCCAGTTTAGTGCCCTAACAATTTCTTCCGATCCCCGATTCAACTCCAAACACAGTCACCAAGAACCTCCCGTTCTGCCTGACATGGTTCTGCCCCCACTGTTATCCTCCCCCAAAACATGCCAGTCCCCTCGCTGCACCCCCCGCCCAATAAAACCCCGTGTCTCACTCCAGCTCTGACCCGCTGTCTCCGCGACCATCGCTCCTCTGTCTGTGCCCAGCATTCTGTTCCTGCCGCCCCATCTCTCTCTCCTGCAGGTCACCTGCCTGCTCAAGGCTGCCCTGTCCTGATTGTGAGCCTCAGGGATGGTGCCTCCCTTTCAGGGCTGGGGCCCAAGGTGCGGGCGACTGAGGCAGCCGTAGGCCCAGGCTGAGCAGCTCCGCTCAGACCCTGCGCCCTGCCCAGAAAGCTGCAGAAGAAAGGAGGGCAGGCAGGCGGCCGGCTGAGGCTAGGGGCTGCTCCTTGCGGGGAGATCTGCCAGGCCACCTAGGAGGGGGGATGACCAGCATTTAATGAGTGCCAGCCAATGATGCCTCATCTTCCCCATTTTACACGTAGGGAAACTGAGGCCCAAGCCGGGACCCGAGCCCAGAGTCCCCTCAGAGCTGATGCCCTTCGCCGCCGCCATAGCCTCTGTCTCACACTGCCCCGTCATTTTCATCGCTCGGCCTCTACCAGGGGAAGCCCCGGGCCCGTACACACGTCACTCACATCTGATTCCCAGAGCCCTCACGAGCGGCGCTGCCTCCTCGTGTTCCGGAGGAGAAACTGAGGCTCGGGGACACACTGGGCCTTGTCAAGGTCACTCAGGAAGCAGAGATACAAAGTTCTGAGTACGGGGCAGGAAGAACCTCCCCTGCTGGAGCCCTGGCCTCCCGTGTCACGATGCCAATTCCCCAGACAGGGATCCCAAGGCCGAGGTGGGATTAGCATCTTGCCCAAGGTCACAGGGCAGGGGAAGCAGAGCACCTGGGATTCAAACCTGGCCCCGCAGACTCCTGGATGCTGAGCTCTCTCCCACATTCCACTGGGCTGCTCACAACCCCAGGCCTCCTGGGGCGGGGAGAAGGGAAGTGGAGATTCTGGCAGATAAGGCCCCGGATCCCCACGGAGATAACAGCTCGAAGAAGAATCCCCATCAGGTGGCACCAGGGGAGCCAACTGGGTGTGGGCTGGCACCCACTGAAGGCAGCGGGGCTGAGGAACCCCTGCAAGGGGCAGCTGGGGCAGTGGGTGACAAAGCCCCCAGGGGCCGGGGGCGGGAGCTAAAATTGGCTGGCACCACCAGCTGGCCCGGCTCCCTCCCGCCGGCTGGCGCCCCAACACCAGGCCTGTTGCTAGGGAACCTCCCGAGAGGCTGGGAGTGGGGGGCCTGGAACTTGGGGTGGGGTAGCATGACCCCACGTGGCTATCAACGTGGTAACCAGTTGGCAGTACAGGGGGCTGCAACCTCAGACTCCAGAGGTTGCGAGGTGGCCCCAGCCAGGACTGACACTCAGGTCTCACACAGTAGAACTGGGAGGGGAGGAGAGAAGGGGATTAGACCTCCTCATATCCCCACTCCCCGAAAATCCAGACGACAAAAGGAGGAAGGGCTCGTATGAGTCCAACGTTACAGACGAGTAAATTGAGGTTCAGAGAGGTGAGGTCACTTCCCTGAGGTCACACAGCTAGGGAGGGATAGAAACTAGACTTAATCCATGCTTGCCTGAATAAGCAAAGCAATAGCAATAATAATAGCCGCTACAATATGGCTGACCCTGTGCCTCTTACTCACATAATCTCCCGGGCTACTTGAAACAACCCTAACAGGGAGGTACTCTCACGGGCCGGCGGAGAGGTAAAGGGAGGCTCCGAGCAGGGAGCGGATCTGGAAGTTCACGCAACAACTGGGACAGCCCTGGGTTGAGAATCCGTGGCCATCTGACTCATACCCACAGTCACAACAGTGTGAACATGTGCAGCGCGCATCCTGTGCGCCCGGCTGCGCCCGTACAGTCCCGAGTCGTCCTCTGACAGGCGCCAGGGATCGCCCCCATTCTCCAGGGCAAGCTACTGAGTCCCGGGGAGGGAGAACCCGAGGTCTGAGGGCACGGCACAGACTGGCTGGCAGAGCCAGCACTTGAACTTGGGCCTGTGGGCTCTCTGGCACTTTCTGTAGTGACTGGAGGGGTGGGTGGGGAAGGGGTCTCTCCCCAGAGACTCCCAGCCAGAGTCTGGCCTGAAGCATGGGTGGCGGCAGCAGCGGTGGGGATCTCTGTGGGGAAGGGTCCTGCAAGGACCAATCTCTCTGGTGGGGACCTGGGAGGAGAGTGGGGCTGGTGGGAGCAGGGACCTGGCACAAGGCCTGGGGGAAAGGGACAAAGACCCCAGCTGGGGAGGAGTCTGGTATTGGTTGGTGAGTCTTTAGAAGCAGAGAGCAATCAGAAACCAGGGAAATGAGGAGGCAGGGTCTCCCCAGGGTTGTTCTGGGTTGTGGTATAGGGAAGGGGGGCGGGGAGGGGGGAGACCTGGGGATAATAGGAAAGGTCGAAGCCATGTGGCAGTGGAAGTCAGGCGCCAACGATCCCTGGGCCTGGGGCCTAGGGCTTGGGGGAATTCCTAGAAGTCAAAGAAGGGGTTTTGCAGGAGTAGCCCTTGGAACCAGAGAAAGCTCTGGGGCCCGCACGTCTGGGATGAGGGGCAGCCCAGAGAAATAAAGGCTGAGCCCGTGGGGTCAAGGGGTCTAGAAACTTGGGGAGGAAGGAGGCTTCCAGAAGACAAGAGAAGAGGACCTGAGAGCCAGGGCAAGGCCAGAGGCTTGGAGCCCAGGAGTCTTCTGGAAACAGGATGTGGGGCCAGGCCCTATGAGCTCGGAAAGACCTCTGAAGCTGGGGAGGGGGCTTCCCTGGGAGGCCAGACCTGTGCCACGAAAAGGGAGGCCCTAAGGCAGGAGGAGGGGTAGGGCCCTGGAGGTCCAGGAGCAGAGACAGCATCCTGCAGGAAGGGCCTGGACAAGGTGGGCATCCAGGGGTGGAGGGCTTGGTGAGGGGGCTTGCCTGAAGCTGAGTTGACACAGGGAGGATGAGGCCTGGAGTCAGGCTGGTCCAGGGCCTAGAAATCCGGGACTGGGCTGGGGGCCTGGAAGTTGGAGGCCAAGGCTTCCTGGGAGAGGAAGAGACCAGAGAGGGTCCAGTAGCGTCTGGGGGACCTGGGGTGCTGGGAATCCGGGGACAGGGCTGCTTAGAAGATGGGGACCAGGCCTGGGAGTGGAGAGACCTTGAACAAGACGGAAAGGGCCCTGGGCCAGGGAAAGGTGGAAACCGGCTTCCTGCGAGGGGGTGCCCACAGGAGCAGGAGGGGCGGAGGGCTGGGAATGAGAGGAAGGGGGCTCCTGGGGAACCCGGCACCCAGATCCGGCCGGAAAGGCCGGAGCCAGAGGCAGGACTGGGCCAGGCCTTCCTGCGAGACGGCCAGGGCTGGGCCTTGGGGTCAGGAGCCCTGCAAATCCGGGAGGGGGCCAATGGTCGCGGCGGGGCGGCCTGAAGGGGAAGGGGCTTAAGAACACACCGGGGAAGGGAGGGGTCCTGGAAGGCAGGGGAGGGGGCTTCCTGGAGGGAAGAGCCCCGAGCGGAAGCGGTCTGCACAGGGACGAGAGGGGTCCCGAGAGAGGGGCGCCCCGGGGGTCCGGCAGGCTGAGGAGTGGGGGAGGGTCGAAAGTCCTGGAAGTGCGCGCGGGGGTCGGGAGGTGGCGGGCCGGGCCGGGCCCGGGAAACGAGGGCAGGGCCCGCGCGGCGAGGGGCACGGCAGGTCCAGGGGCTCGGCGGACAGACCTGGCCGGGGCTGCCCCAGAGATCGGGCCCTACTCACCGTGTCCGAGTTCCGATCGTTGCCCGGGGCCAGCGCCGTCCGCGAAGACATTTTCTCCGGGTCCCAGGGGACTGGGCGGCCGGGTGGGGGGGGACAGGGGTGCCGGGGTCCCCTCTTCCCCTCCCCCCCCGCCGGCCTGGGGACGCGAGCTCAAAAGCTGGGTGCCGCGAACACCCGGGTTCACGCGGCGGGAGAGGGGGCAGGGAGGGGGAGGGAAGGGGACGCTGAGGGTCCTAGTGGCCCCGCGCAGTGGGGGCCCAGGGCGCCATAGGGGCGGCCGGCGGCGGGCAGGCGGACGGGCGGGCGGGGGCCGGGGAGGGGGCGCGGAGCCGGCCCGGGCGGCGGCGGAGGGAGGCGGCGGAGGGGCCGGGAAGGAAGGGACGTCAGGGGGAGGGGCGGGCAGGGCGGGGCCGCCGAGACCCCGCCCCCTGCCGCCGGCCCTTAAAGGCGCAGCCCGGGGCGGGCCGGGGGCTCCGGGGGCGGAGGCAGGTTGCAGCGCGTTGAGGGTGAGCATGTTCTCACAGGAGCGTGGAGGAGACTCACCGGAAGGGAAGGCGAGGGAAACGCCAAGGCAGAGCGCCAGAGACGCAGAGACACAAAAAAAGAGAGGGAGAAACGTAGGGAGAGAGAGACACATACAAAGAGACAGAGATGTGAAGAGAGACCAGAGACACAGAGAGAGACAAAGACTGAGGGACTCACACGGAGAAAGATGGGGAGAGAGAAAGACAAAGAGATACACACAGACGCAAAGACCTGTGAAGAGAACGGAGATAAAGACAAGGGGCAGAAAAGCCCCCAGAGGCAAGAGCCAGGCAGAGGGCACAGTCCGCCTTCTCCTGCCCCGTCATGGGGCCCAGGAAGCTCTTGGGGGACACAGGGCTGAGGGTGCGGAGGGGGGAGATGGTGTTCCGGGCGGAGCCACTGCAGAGGAGTGACCTTCCACATCCCAGAAAGCTCCAGACCACAAGGTTGTGGGCTGCAGCCTCCTCGCCTCCGCTCCCCAGCCAGGGTCTGAGGACTCTCTGCCCAGGCATGTCACTCAGGGCAGGCATTTGACTACCCATCTGGTCTCAGTTTCCAGTCTATGAGGTGAGGGGAGGATCTGCACGTTGCCTTCCTGGCAGGGTGGAAGCAGGTGCAAAGGATAAACTCAGACCAGAGAGGGCAAGGGCGTCGCTGAGGTCACATAGTCCTGTGAGGACCACCCATGACCTCTAGACCAGAATAAGAGGAAGGAAGGAGGGGCATGGCATAGCCCTGGCTTCAGAATCACACAGCCTTTGGTTGGGGTCCATGCCCTGCCCGTGTCTGGCCATCTTCTTGCACCTCAGTTTCCCTATCTAAAGTGGATGTGACGATAACAGTGGTATGATGGATATGGCTCAAGAGAGCTGATTGTTAGTCTCAGAAATTTTGGGACTTGTTGTTAAACAGCCACTGTGAAAAATTAAATGATGCAGCCCTGACCGGTGTGGCTTGGGTGGGCATCGTCTGGCAAAGTGAAAGGTTGTAGGTTCAATTCCCACTCAGGGCACATGCCTAGGTTGCATGTTTGGCCCTCAGTTGGGGCATGTATGAGAGGCAATTGATCCATGTTTTTCTCTCACATCAGTGTCTCTCCCTCTCTCTCTCCATTCCCCTCCCCCTAAAAATAGATAAATAAAGTCTTTTAAGAATTAGATTATGAAAACATACACTTAAATAAATTGTATTTGAGACAAAGTCAATAAATACTCATCACATCTGAATTATTTTACTAGAACATGTGATTCTGGGGTCATTTACATTTATTGTATGTGCATAGTGAAACTGCTGTATAATGGGCCACTGAGCCTCTCTTCCCCTCCCCGCAAAATAAACACTTTCAGTGACATCACCTTGACATTAGCCAGGGTGGGAACATTTATGCCATGGAACCTGGCAAACGCTACAAATTAAGGCTCCCTAGCACCACCCCCTAGAGAGCTGGTTGTTAAACCTTTACCACGGTCTCCCTGGTGGATACAACCAGCTACGTGGACTCACAGAGGCTTCCCCTTCACCAGGCTCCGAGGGCTTTATCCTTTCTGCACCCCATCATTATGAAGTTGAACTATCATTGTGAACCCCATTTACAGATGAGGAAACAGAGGCCCAAAGGAGAAAAATCACATGCTCGTCACACAGGTGGCCAGCTGCAGGGCTGGGATCTGAACTCAAGGTTCTCCAAACTCCAGAACTCGGGCTCTTAACGACTAGGATTACCTGTGCCCAAATAATAATAGTAACAACCTCAGTCTGCAATACATTAACGAGACTATGTAAGTGCTTCACGTGGGAACTGATTAGAACCTCGAAAGTGGTGGCATTACTATTATTATTCAGAAAACGAGGTCCTAGGAACCTCAGGGATAGTGATCGGCAGAGAGGGAAGAGTTCAGGATGGTTTAGAAACTTTGAGATCCCAAGGGCTCTGCTGGGTGAGGGTGGGGTCTTGGGGATGGGTTGGGGTAGCTGAGTCACTCCTAATTCCTTCACAGATCTGGCTCAGAGAGCTGCAGTTCTCCCATGCACCACACGGGGGCAGAAGATCACCTCCTTACACCTGGAAGGTCCGGCCTTGGCTCCTGGTCTCAGAACAGTCCCCACTCCATTCCCCAGAGGAGGGAGGGGACTGAGCCTTTTAAAAAGGAAGAGGCTGCCCGGGCTTGTGTGGCCCAGTGGATTGAGTGCCAGACTGCTAAGCAAAGGGTCTCTGGTTCGATTCCCAGTCAGGCCGCTTGCCTGGGTTGCAGGCCAAGTCCCCAGCTGGGGGCATGTGAGAGGCAACCACACATTGATGTCTCTCTCCCTCCCTTCCCCTCTCTCCAAAAGCTTAAAAAAAGAGAGAGAGGGGACTACAGTATAGACGAAAATAGTATAGTTAATGGAAGAAGCCCAACACAAAAGACCACCTACTGTATGACTCCATTTATATGGGGTGGCCAAGAATGGGTCAATCTGTGGGACCGGGAGGAGAAGGGAATGGAGAATGACTGCTGATGGGTTAGAGGGTTTCTTTTTCTTTTTTTATTTTATTGATTTTAGAGGGAGAAAGAGAGGACTGGAGAGAGAGGAAAACATCAGTTTGTCATTCCAGTGATTTATGCATTCATTGGTTGGTTGATTCTCATGTGTGCCCTGACAGAGGACCGACCCCACAGCCTGTGTCTGGGGACAACGCCCCAGCCAACCGAGCTGCCCGGCCAGGGCACAGGGGTGTCTTTCTGGGATGATAGAATTGTTCTGAAATTGGATCATGGTGCTAGTTGCCACAACTTTGTGAATCTATTATATACCGCTGAATTGTACACTTTAAAAAGTTGAGTTCTATGTCAATGATATCTTAATAAAAATTAAATTTGAAAAAGTGAGAGGGAGATGTGACAGTGATCACAGTCCCCAACAGGCCACTTGGTCCCAACCTGGGCCACCTCCTGACAACCACGGGTCCACATTGACCTGAGGGGGACAGGCCCGTCCCTCCTCCTTCCCTCGGCCGCCCAAAGAGCCCTATTCCGATGCACAGTGTCTGGCAAACCCAGTCCTTGCACAGAGGCTGTCAGCGGGGGCTGGGAGGAAGGCAGTGACCCCTGAGCCCACCCCTGCCCATAACGCTGACCCGAACCCCAGCTTTGCCTAGGCAAGTGATCCCTCGTCCCAGCCCAACACCCGGGATGCTGCGCCTGGGCTTCTGAAAGGCCATGGACACCTAAAATCCAGCCTTTAAAGTGACCCCAACTGTGCAGCTACCCCCACCTAACACCCAGCTCATTTCCAGCCCCAGCTGCACCAGCCGCCTCCAGCCACCGCCTGTGCTATGACCAACCCCACTGGTGCACTCGGTCAGCAAATCTTGACCGAGCACAGACTCTGTGCCAGGCTCTCATCTGGGGGCATGAAGACGAACACCTGAACCATTTGCTTTGAATAAACAGAAAATCTACAGGGGAGACAGAGGATCCTGACTGGTCCAGACTGCAGAAGGTGCTATGAAGGAATCCACCTTTCAGAGCCATGGCTCTGATCTGGGGGGGCAGGGGGGAGCAGGAGCTCTTTGGCTGGATGGTGGGGTGTCTCCTGTGAGGAAGGGACACTGGGGCTGAGACCAAGATGGTAAAAAAGGAGGGGGCCGTGCAGAGACCCGGGGCCAGGGGCTTGTAGGGAAACAGCCCCATTTCTTTTCTTGTAAAGCATCACCCAAGGATATATTTTTTTATTATTGATTTTAGAGATGGGGTGGGGAGGGGAGAGAGATAGAGAGAAAGAGACAGAAACGGACTGATCAGTGGATTGGTAGCCTTCCATACCGCCCCCGGGAGGACGCTCCAGCCGGCGGAGCCACCAGCTGGGGCCAGCAGCCCCATTCCGCAGCCCCGCCCGCACACTCAGCCCTCCGTCCCGCACCTGGGCCCCTGCAGACCCTGCCTCCGTGTCCTCCCCCACAGCAGGGGACCAAGAGAGAGCCCGCGTCCAGCAGGGGCGTCTCCCCGGGCGCCCAGGATGGTGTTGTCACCTTGGGAGGCGTGAAGAGCAGGCAGTGGGGGCCTATTCCGGCTGGCCGGGTGAGGGTGGGGGCCCAACCGCAGCCTGGTCTGGAAGGGCAGACAGATAACGAGCCCTTCCCAACCCTGGCCCCAGAGAGGGAGGGGTTTCCTGACAGGAAATTGACCTCCTCTAACCCCCCCTCCTCAGATCCAAGCTCTCGGCAGTCCTGGCCAAAGTAGCCCCAGGACAGGACAGCGGCAGGACAGAGGGACCAGGCACTGAGAGCAGAGGTGAGGGGGCTGGGGAAGGGGGCAGGATTCAGGGCCTCCCAGGAAAGCGGCGCAGCCCCGAGCTGGGCTGGCCCAGCGTTGGAGAAAACACTTGTCCTGAAGCCGGGAGAACCTGGGGGCACAGAGAGACTCTGGGGCCCGACCTGGACAGGCTGCCAGCAAGGGGGCCGGGAGAGGTGGAAGCAGGCGTGGGTCGCAGGGGAGACTGGGGATCCAGAGAGGCTGCGAGGGCGTGGAGGGCGGGCTCGGAGCCACCGGGGAGGAGAGGTGAGACGTGCAGGTGGGCAGGCGGAGCGGGGGGTGGATGCGTGTCCTGCTCTGGCCCCAGGACAGGGTCTTGGAGATAGGAGAGGGGACGAGGGTTGGGAGGGTGATGGAGCAGGAGGTGGGACGGGCTGGGAGCAAAGACCTGGAGGAACCTGAAACAGGCTGGGCTGGTGGCTGGTCATTTGGGGGGCAAGGCTGGATGGAAGCTCTGTTAGTTAGGGCCGGGCTTGGACGCGCAACTGGTAAGGGCATTTCTGTGGTGCAGGCCCTGAGGACTGGAGGGGAGGACTTGTGCAAACAGGTCAGCCGTCTGTGGAGGGTTTGGGTATTTGGGGAAAGGCTGGCAGCGAGGAAGAGGAGGAGGAGCCCAGAGAGGGAAGTTCTGGTGGCCAAGACATCCTGCAGGGCCTGGGGGCTTGGGGATGCCTCGGAAGTGAGTCAGGGGCCTGGCACCGGGCGGCAGACAAGGGGGCTGGAGAAGGCAGGATGTCGGGGCCAGTCTGCGGAGGGGGTGTTGGAGCCAGGAAGGGGAAAGACGTCGGGGTGAGTTTTGGGGAAATGTTGCCGCCAGGTCTGGGATGTTGGTTTGGGGGTATTGGATCCGGCATGGGAGTGGGTATGGAAGCTGGTGGGGGGACATCCAGCCCGGCCTGGGCCAAGTCGGCTTCCACGGGAGGAAACTCTGACCCTCCCTTTGTGAGTGGGTGGTGGGATTGTGCAGGGGTGTTGGAACCAGTCACTTGGGGAAGACGAACCATTTTGGGGGTAAGGCGCATAGAAAAAGCCTGTCTGGAGAACGAAGACGGTGATATCAGAATGTGGAGAGTACGTGGTACTCTCTGAGGAGTGGTATCGATTGCCCGCAGCCATGGGCAGGGGTGGGGGTAGGGGCTCCAGGCAAGGGGTTGTCATGGTGACTGCCTCCCTGGGGGATAAGGGACCTCGCAGACCGTAGAGAGGCTGGTAGGTTGTGTTTCTACCAAGAGGAGGCTTGAGACACAGCAACTGAAGTCAGGAGGGAAGAAGGGAGCCCCCCACTGGGACAGGGCCACGGGCCAGCCGACTCAGGGCCCCTTCAGCATCAGCCTGCCCCCAGCCCCCTGCACCCTCACACAACAGCCCGGTCCTGACCCCATCCCTCGCCTGCTCGAGCCCGGTTCAAAACCACCCCCGAGTCCAGCAGTGGGACACCTGGCCCTCGACCCGGTTCGGCCACAGTTGCACAGCAGAATAGTATGTAGCACCAAAAATAAGTGATCTCCCCTCAAAAAATCAAATGGCAGGATCCACATGGGCTGAGAGCATTTAAAGAGAGCTTGAACCCGTGTTATAGGATGTATTGTTATTTCTGGACACAAGCCCGTGTGCGCATAGGGTGACAGTCTGTCGCATGGGTGTTCCAGAAGCTGCTTGCCTTGGGCGAGGGCTGGGGGAGCAGGGTCGGCAGGGGCTTCCGGGGTCGGTGCATGCGTCCTGCTTGATTCTTAAAAAAGTCGGAACACATGGAGCTGATGTTTGTAGTAGTTGCCACTAGGATTGCAAGCACTGAGTTGCTGATTAAGTTTGTTCTCTAGACTTTTCTGAATGTTTGGATTATTTCATCATTTCAAAAAACACCCTACCATGGCTCCCCAGGGCCCTTGGGAGACAGCCCGAGTCCCCGGCCACGGCATTCCCGGTCCTCTGTGGCCTGCTCCTCATTGACCCCTTCAGCCTGACTCATCATTCCTCTTCCCCACAAGGAATGAAGTCTTTTCCTCCTTCCTTCGCTTCCTGTTTATCACCCATTAGTTCCCCAAATGCCTGCCCTGGGATCTGGGAACACAGTGGTGACAAAGACAGCCCTGACCCTGCCCTCTGGAGGCTCACAGTCCAGTGGGGAACACAGAACCATCCCCAGACAATGACAACCCAGAAAGGGCTGGGGTGAGGTAGGGGAAGTCCTGAGGGGAGCACATGACTGTCCAGGCATCAGGGAGGGCTTCCTGGAGGAGGGGGTGCTAGGGCTGGGTCCTAAAACATAATTGGAGCCTGGAGAACAGGCTTCCGTGTAACAAGATCAACAGATGCCACCCTGGCTGGTGTGACTCAGTAGATTGAGTGCCGACCTGGGAACTTAAAGGTCACTGGTTCAGTTCCCAGTCAGAGCACATGCCTGGGCTGCAGGCCAGGTCCCCAGCTGGGGGCGTGTAAGAAGCAACCGATTGATGTATCTCTCAGAGGTCAATATTTCTCTCCCTCTCTTACCCTTTGTCTATAAATAAAATAGAAAAGGGGGCAAAAAAGGGACTTAAAAAAAACGACCAGCAGATGCCAGAGTAAGGAGGAGGATGTGGGATAGCACTGCTGAGGGTGACAGCTGGCAAACGAGGGGCCTGAATTTTGCCCCGAGGGCACTGGGGAGCCATGGCAGGTTAAGAGAAGGGGAGGGCAGGTTTATGCTTTAACAAGATCCTTGAAGGAAGACTGGAGGGGCCAAAACTAGAGTCTGGAGACCAGGGAGGAGGCAGGGAAGCCAGAGGGGGCTTGGACCAGAGTAGGGACCATGAAAAGGAGGGAGATGGGGGACCAAGTAGGTGAATGGTTGGAAGCTTCAAGACCCATGAAGGCAAAGACTGGGTCTTCCTTGGCCACCACTGTGTCCCCGGTGGCTGCACAGGGCTGGGCCCACGGCAAATGGGTAGGAAAGTATTTTTTTTCTTTTTTAAAGATTTTATTTATTTATTATTATTTTTTTAGATTTTATTTATTTATTTTTAGAGAGGGGAGGGAGAAAGAGAGAGAGAAACATCAATGTGCTGTTGCTGGGGGCCGTGGCCTGCAACCCAGGCATGTGCCCTGACTGGGAATCAAACCTGTGATGCTTTGGTTCGCAGCCCGCGCTCAATCTACTGAGCTACGCCAGCCAGGGCGATTTTATTTATTTTTAAAGAGAGGGGAAGGGAGGGAGAGAGGGAGAGAAACATCAATGTGTGGTTGCCTCTCACGTGCCCCCTGCTAGGGATCTGGCCCACAACCCAGGCATGTGCCCTGACTGGGAATTGAACCAGTGACCATTCAGTTCACAGGTCGGCACTCAGTCCACTGAGCCACACCAGTCAGGGCATATTAACCATTTTAAAATGTACCATTCAGTGGCATCTAGTACATTCACAGTGTTGTCAACCATCACCTCTATTTAGTTCCAGAACATTTTCATCCCCCTAAAAGGAAACTGTATCCATTAAACACTCACTCCCCAGTCCCTGTCTCCCAGCTGCTGGCAACCTCTAATCTTTCTGTCTCCATGGATCTGCCTATGTGGATATTCCCCAGGAAGGCGTGCGGAAGGAATGAATGGGGCAGAGGTGGCAGGGTACTGACGGGACCGGGGAGGTGGGGCAGGCGCACAGGCTTGCAGCTGGGATAACGGTGTGGCCTGGGTGCCAAGCAGTCTCTGCCTTTTGCCTCAGTGCCACCTTGAGAGAGAGCCTTTCCTTCTCTGAGTCTCTTTCTTCCTTTGAAGTTTTATTGATTTTCAAAGAGGGGGGAAGGGAGGGGGAAAGAGGAGAGAATGTGTGGGAGAAACATTAATCGGCTGCTTCTCACACGCTCCCCACTGGGGACCTGGCCCACAACCCAGGCATGTGCCCTGACTGGGAATCGAACCAGCAACCTTTCGGTTTGCAGGCTGGCGCTCCATCCACTGAGCCACACCAGGCAGGGCTCTGAGCCTGTTTCTTCATGGAGTATGGGGTCAACTAAGAGGACAAACGTGCGGGCAGGAGTCAGAGGGCAAGGGCCCGAGTGCCAGGTGCTCTGGGGGCAGACAGGTCTCGGTGCGCATCTGCCTTTGTCCCTGAGTTTCTGTGGGACCTTAGGCCAGTGCCTTTGCCCTTCTGAGCCTGTGTCCTCATCTGCAAAATGGGCATAATAATAGCGACCGCCTCGTGGAGGGGGAGGATTCCAGGTTTCAGTGAGTGCTCAGCCTAGTGCCTGGCAGCTGTGCCCCAAAGTTTTGGGGACACGCAGGTGTCGTCATCCACACCGTTCATGGCCCATTATTTCTTCCCCAGGTCCCCCCGCCGGTCAAAATGCCCATCCTGAAGAGTCTCGGGGTGGCAGATTCCAAGGTGTCCCGGGCCGGCACCCTGCCCGGGAGGTCCTCTCGGAACCCCTTTGAGGACGTGCCGGGGCTGGAGGAAGAAGAGACTGGGCGGCTGGGGAGCCTGCCCAACGGAACGTCGTGTGGCCGCCGCGCCACCCTGGAGAAGCTGGCAGGCCTGTCTCCCTTCCGGCTGGGCTGGGCCCCCGGCCGGCGGGCGGGCAGCCCCGGCCACGGCCACGGGCAGTCCCGCTCCTTTCTGGGCCGGGTGCTGCCCCCAGGCATGCGCAGGAGCTCGGCGGATTTCGGCCTCCTGGCCAGGCTTCAGGGCAGCCGGGCCCAGGCCGACGAGGAGGCCCCCGGCGAGGCCGCGGGGAGACTGGCCTTCCTGAGGCTGGGGCGCGGGCCCAAGCCCCGGCGCGCCTCCCTGGCCGAGAGGGTGGTGCCTGCAGGCGAGGCGGCCCCTGAGCCCCCGCCCAAGGCCCGGGAGCCCCCGAAGATGAAGGAGCCCCTGTCAGGTGAGTCCCCATCCCGGGGGTATCACAGTGCCCATTTGCACCCCCCACCCCCGCGCGCCTCCAGGGCCCAGGCCGGCGGGTCCCCTGCAGCCCGTCCGCCCGCCACCCAGCTCCACCTTCCGCCCCATCTCCACGCCCATCCTCAGTCCACCTCAGCCCCACGGCCACTGACAGGTGAACCCCGGTTGGTCCCACCTCCTCCAGTCCCCTCCCTGCCCGCGGATTCAGCCCCCTTTCCCTCCCTACTCTCTGGTTCGCCCTCAATCCCGCCCCTTTCAGAGTACCCGCGTCGGACCCGGACTTTATGCCCCTCCCTAACTCCAGGCTCCGCCCCGTGCCCCTGCCCGCCCCGCCCCGTACTCCAGCCCCCACCTCGCCCTGCTCGTCACCCTCCACCCCTTCTTCTCTCCCAGCCCCCTCTGAACAGCACCCCTAGCTAACTCCCTGCCAGCCCTAAACGCCCCCAGCTTCGACACTGAACTTCAGACCCACCTCAAGCCGTGTCCAAGCGTCACCTTCCCAGCGAGCCCCACGCCGCGCCTGCCTTCCCCTCCTGACACATCGCCCCACACCTCCCACCACCTGTGGTAGTTTCTCCGGTAGGAGGCTGTAATACAGACCCCAAAACTAGGGGGCTTAAAACTGCAGAAATGGGTTCTCCCACAGCCTGGAGGTTGGCAGTTCAAAACCCAGGTGTCGGCCGGGGGCGTGCCCTTCGGAGGTATCCTCCCCGGCCCCTCCCAGCGTCTGGCGCTGAGCCGACGACCCCCTGGGCGTCCCCCGGCTGGTGGCTGCGCCGCCCCAGCCCTCGCTCTTCACGGGGCCCTCTCTCTGACTCTCCATGTGCCCTTCCTTCGGAGCATGTCCAGCTCCGCGTCCAGAGCTCCCCTCGCTACAAGGACACCAGTCCCAGCGGATTAGGGCCCAGTGCACGACCTCGCCTTAACTCGGTCGCCTCTGTAAAGCCCCTATTTCCAAATAATGCCCCATTCTCAGGTCCTGGGGGTTAGGACTTCCCATGCCTTCTTGCAGGGGGACAACTCGGCTCGGGACACCAGCCTCTGTATCCTCAACCCCAACCCTGTCCCAACCCAGTGTCTCCCCCACACTTCTGGGGAAATGCGGTCTCTCCCCCACATTTACTGCAACCCCGAAGCGATCTCCACCTGGAGACACGTCACACTCTCATTCCCAACCTACGCCTTTCTCCAAACGCCACCTTGGACCTCGTCGCTCTGTCCAACACCATGGCAACCGCCAGCTGGCCCCGCCCCATCCCGCCTCCCCATTCTCTACTCTAATCCCGCCAGCAAGTACGACTTCGACCCTCTGCCCGCTCCGGTCTCCCTCCTGACCCCACCCCCAGGCCCGTCTTCCCATCCGCCTCCAACTCCACTCCCCGCAACTTCCTCCTGCAGTCTTAGCCCCTCCCCAGCCCCCCACTTCAGCCCCACCCCCAAACTCAGCGTTAACCCCGTCTCCCCCCATGTAGAGTCCCAGTGGTAACTCCGTTCCCAGCCTCCACCTTCCACTCCACCTGTCCACAACCCCACTGGGTTCACAGGTCGTCTTCAGCCCCGCCGCTCTCTGCCTTCCTCGCGTCTTCGACTCTCGCCTAAACGCCCCTCCTCCCACACCTCCGACGCCCTGCCTCCCCCAAGCCCCAGACGCCACTCTCCGGTCCTTTCCCGTCCCCTCTGCAGGGTTCACCCCAAATCCCCACCCTAATCCCAAACTCCCTCACCCCAATTCCCACCTTCATTTCCTCCACCCGCATCCCAGCCCCTAGCCCTCCCCGGTGGGCGGCCCCCGCTGCCCCAGCGCCGGGGGCCTCCGGAGAGCCGCTCTGCGTCCTCTGATGCCCTCCACATCCTGGCCCGAGGCTATTTCAGCCCCTGCTCCCTGGGGACTGGGAGGGCACTGCAGGGAGGTGAGAAGGGGGTGACTGGAGCCCCCGCCTTCTGGAAACGGATGGGCAGAAATAGCGCTGGCCAGGAAACAGTTTCTCTGCCAGGGAGGAAGTGGAGGGGGGTGGAGGTGTCGGGGTAACCCTGGGGCACTGGGACGCCCCCTGTGCCTTCAGACCCGGAGGCCTCCCAGCCCCATGCCTCCCTTCTCTCCGGGGCCGGCGGCGTGGGGGCGGGGTCTGACTCATCAGTGCCAGATCACCCCAAAGCTGTCTGCACCCCCAAAGACCCATCTCTTGATATCCTCTCCCCATGTCCAAGCCTCCTCCTTGCCTGCTGGTCCACTGGCCCTCCCCATCCCTCTCCCCCTCTCTCAGCCCACCCACATCCTCCGCCCCATGCGCTTTTTCTGTCTAACCCCTCAACTCCGCCGATCTCCCCATTCCCTAACCGACTCCCTGACCCCTTCTCCCAGGCCCTGACCCCTCACCTCACGCCCTCACCCTCTTCCTCAACCCCTTGGCCCCCACTTCCTCTGCTTCCCCTCCCGCAACGCTCTCACTAAGGTGACAGCCTCTGTCCAGTCCTTTGACCTACTTCCCATATCCAGGCGCCCTCTCCCAGCGCCCCAGCCACTCTTCCCTTCCCTAACCCGCCCCCCAAGTCCGGGCCCTCTCCGCGCCTCCTCCTCCATCCCCTCTCCTCTCCCCAAACCCGACCCCTCTCCTTCTCCCCCCGCTCCCCTCCCCCTCCTTTGTCTCCCTGTGCTGTCTAGTCTCCGCATCCTCCTCCCTCGACCTCCCTCCACTTCTGCCCGGCCTCCTCCATCCTCTGCCACCAGCCCTCAACTTCCTCATCCCTCCCCGCCCCCCAAACCCGTCTTCTGACACGCCCTTCTCTCCTCCCCCTCCTCCTGAACCATCCCGGACCCCCCTCTTTGCTCTACACCTGCCCCCCTCCCCCAGCTCTATTTCCCTCATGTCCCCACCGCTTCCCCCCTGCCGTTTTCTTCCCGCTGACCCCCGCTTTGCTCCCGCAGTGCTGGAAATCCTGAGTCTGATCCAGCAGCGCGAGCTCGCGCGGGCCGACGAGCACATCTTGGAGCTGGAGGCCGAGGAGCTGGCGTCGTCGGGGGGCGGCGCGCCCGGGCCGCCCCAGGTCGAGGGCGCAGGCGGGGGCCGCCGGGCACGGGACGTGGCGCTGCTGTACGAGGCTCTGCAGCGCGAGCTGTGGGCGCTGGTACGCGAGACGCTGGCGGGCCCCGGGCTGGGCTTGGGCGCCGGGGCCGGCGCCGTGGCGCAACTGGGCCAGGTGCTGGTGCAGGAGGAGGCGGCCGACGGACGCCGGGGACCAGGGGCGGCCCGCAAGCTGCGCGCCCGCTGGGCCGAAGCAGTGGCGCGCGCGGCTCGCGAGCGCCTGGAGGCGGCGGCACCCGGGGCGCCCGGAGGCCTGGCCGCGCAGCTGGAGGCGCTGCGGGCGCGGCTGCTGGAGGACATGGGCGTGGTGCGGGGCCGCCTGGCGCCCGCCTACCCCGCGGGTCTGGGCGCCTTCGGCGTGTACCTGCGCGGCTACCACGGCGCGCTGGCCGACTGGCTGGGCGCCGCCGCGCGCCGGAGACTGCCGCTCGCCGACCGCTACGCGCTGCTGCACTGGCACCACCAGGTGTACCCCAGGTGAGCTGGGGCCGCCTAGGGACCAGACACTGCACGACCCCGTAGAACCGCCCCCCTGCCCCAGCCCTACCCTGGCCTCTTCGGTCCCCGAGCACCTTGGAACAGCTGGCCCTTCAATTCTAACCTGAATACCGTGGACGCTTCCAATCTTCATCGCTAGGACATTTACGATCCTAGAATGTTAGCGCTCCCTGCTCTTCCGGTGCTAGAACGTTAGAACACAGATCCTCCCGATTCTAGAACCTCAGCCCTGTCGACCCCTCCAGCCCCAGAACTTAGCACCACCGACCCTTCTGGTCCTGAACTTTTGGCACTGGTGACCCTCCAAATGCTGGAACCCTGACACTGCGCTCTCTCTCTCTCTCTCTCTCTCTCTCTCTCTCTCTCTCTCCCCCAGGGCACTAGCGCTGTCAACTCCTCCACTCGTAGAACTTTAGAATTAATGACGTTTCCAAGTTAGAACCGTAGTACCCATGAGCCCTCTGGCCCTAAACCTTGGCCCGCCGCCTCTTTGGGTCCTAGAAGCGTGTCCCTCAGTCTGGACGGTAGCACCGTTGGCCCCGTGCGCTCTGCAATTTTAGCCTCTAGAACCCGGCACTTTTGAGCCTTCCAGCCCTAGAATCTTATAACGATCAAGGCTGGGAACCTCAAACGTGCCCGTTCTCGTGGCTGGGGAGGGGGCGGCAAATGGTGATTTAGCCGTGACTGGGTCACCTTCCCACTGCGGGGTGGGGGGCGCGCCCAGAGCGCGGGTTAGAGGTCGAAGGAGGCGGGGCTCCCTCACACAGAATCAGGAAGAACAAGAAGGCAGCAGCTCCCGGCACCGACCCCCTGGATCCCACTTGGGAATTTGTGTTAATGACATTCTCGCGCCATCCAGACAGGGGGTCTGGACAACTTCCAGGGATGGTGGGGCGCGAGTTAAGTCTGATCTCTGGGGAGCCGGTGCTGCTGGCTGAGAGACGCCCTGAGCGGAAGCCTGCTGTGTGTGGGGGGGGGATTGGGGGGGACGGGGCTCGCAGGGGTGCCGAGGCAGGGAGCCAGGGCTGGGCTAGGGAGGTCTCCAGATCCAGGCCAGGCGGTAGGGACTGGGGGCAGGGGTGGAAGGGAGCTTCTGTCTGGTGAACCCTGTCGTGTGGGTGAGAACTTGCGTGTCACATGGTCAAGCTTGAACTTGACTCCTATAAGTCTTGCCTGGACCCCTTCTACCAGGGAGCTGACTCAGAGAGCCGGGGCCAGGGGAGCCACACTTCCAGAAACTTCCTTTGAGGGATGAGCAAAGCTGGTCCCCAGATAGGAAGGGAGTGACCCAGGGTCACACCCGGGGTGTGAAGAGATGGGGATGCAGGGAGGTCCGTGGCTCTGCCCCACCCCTCACAGACCTCCCTGTCTCTCACCCCCCCACCCCCAGAGAAGTCTTAGGGCTGGTGGACATGGTCGCCCTGGAGAACGGGGAGCTAGGGCCCCTTCTGTCGCCTGGCACGGTGCGGGGCTTGGAGGATGAATGCGTCACAGACGTGAAGGTACCCGGGACTGGGCATCGGTGATTCGGGAGGGAGGGAGGGGGAGGCACTCTGTGAGGAAGGAGGGCTCACCCTGGGTGGGGGCCTCTCCCGTCCTGCTTTGCATGTTCTCATGCCCCCTTTCCCTTTGTGGACTTCTGGGTTCCGACCAGAAGACAAAGAAATGAAAATCCACGCTGAACACTCGTGTCTGACGCTCAGCGCTATACGCCAAGCACCCAGCTGGGTGTGGAGTGCTCGGTAGAGGTTCAGTCTATTCAGACAATCAGGTCTTGGAGCAGGAGACAGTCAGTCTCGGCACCTCCGCTCACAGACTCGCAGACTCGCAGCAGGAGGGCGCCGGGGCAGCTCTGCACGGAAGCAGGGCTGGCTGGGGGTAAACCGGGTCAAAAACCGGCCGGGGGGGGGGATACCCCTGAGCAGAACGGTCCCGCTACAAACACCTGGGCCGGCCACCGGTTTCCGGACTGAATGCCCGTCCTGCCTCAGCTACAGAACGAGTCTTTGCAACTTGAAAGGCTGGAGTCTTAGACTTGAACGTGCCCAGATTCTAGTCAGTGAGTTGAAGACAGCATTGGACCAGAGAATCAGAGATGAATTACTTTAGCATCCCAGACCCTGGGAATCTTTGAATCCCGGGATCTGACAATCTTGAGTGTATTATTATTATTATTATTATTAACCTAAGAGCAGAGTCTTACAGCCAAGAAATAATGAGAATTGACCCTTCAGCCCACCGGGTAGTAGATGCAGGAAGCTTCACACCAGACTGTTGATACGCAGCAGTGGGAAGGGCTGGGGGTGTCCTGTGGTCCAGCCTTCCTCCCCAGCACGGCTTTGAGGAGCTCACTGGTAGAATACAGACCTGCTTGGGGCTGAGGTGTGGGGATTGTGGCGGGAGAGAGTTGGGGGGAGGGGAGGCCTCCCGGCGCCTCCCCCACACTCCTGCCTCTCCTCCCCCCTCCCCACCGCAGGCTCAGACCCGCGCGGCCCTGCTGCGAGCGCTGCAGGAGGACGAGGAGCACTGGGGGAGCGCGGAGGGCACGCCCAGCAGCCTGGCCCAGGACGTGTGTGAGGTAGGGGTCGGGTCGGGGAAGAGGAAAGAGACTCAGCGGACGATGGACGATGCGGGGTGGGAAGGTGGGGCGTCGCCCCTCCTCACCGGTTCTCACCCCCCGGACCGCGCAGCTGCTGGAGGAGCACACAGAGCGGGCGCCCCGCATCAGCCAGGAGTTCGGGGAGCGGATGGCCCACTGCTGCCTGGGGGGGCTGGCCGAGTTCCTGCAGAGGTATGGGGGCTGGGCGCAGGCTGGGGTGGGCGGGGCATCGGAGTCCAGGATGCAGGAGGGGGCGGGGATGGAAGAGAAGATCAGGGCCTGATGGGCAGGGGTCCCGCGGTGGGGTCACAGGCTCTGCCGGGCTGAGCGCCCAGCAAGGGACCCTTGTCCAACCGAGTTCCATCTGTCACGCGCCCACCAGCTTCCAGCAGCGCGTCGAGCGATTCCACGAGAACCCAGGAGTGCGGGAGCTGTTGCCCGACACCTATATCAGCAGGACCATCGCCCTGGTCAATTGTGGGCCCCCCCTGAGGTGAGAGCACCCGCACAGTGTGCGGGGAAGAAGGCCATCCCCCCCCCCCCGCCCACAAGCTGGACTGCGGGGCCTGGATCCTGGGTGGGGGTCGCAGAGAGGCGTGTACCTGGGACCTCAGCATGAGACCCGGGACTGGTAGAAAGAACCAGAGTATCACAGAGCAGAGACTTGCAGTCATCTGAGCACTGGGCGCTAGCCCTGGCCCAGTAGCTCAGTGGTTAGAATGTCCTCCAACTACACCAAGGCTAGCGGTTCGATCCCTGGTCAGGGCACATACAAGAGTCAACCACTGAATGCATAACTCAGTGGAACACCAAATCAGTCTCTCCCTCTCTCAAAATAAAATTAAATTAAATTTAAAAATGGACTTTGGGTCCCAGAAACTTAGAAGCCAGACTCATAAGAATTACATTTTCATTTACCATTTTTATCTTACTTTCCTTTTTTATAAACTTAAAACAGAGGAAATCCTTAGGCCCACCACACCCACCCCTCTGCCTCCACTGAGAGGCGACCAGCACTTGCTAGGGTCCCCATGCCTTCCAGCAACATGTGACATATTATACAGATGCAGAAAGGTGCGTATCTCCTGCACACACTTGCAAATATATTTAAATAGACACCTACATACTCTTCCTTTTAAAAAATAAAAATGGGGAGATACAAAACACGCTCTGCCCCTCTCCCTTTAACCATTTTCTGGCAGCACACGTAGGGCTCCCACCGCCCTTTTCCGTATCCTCATGGAACCCCGCTTCTCGGACACACCAGCCTTGACCTTGCCGGGCCCGCTGGCTGGGGAGCTGGCTCCGCATGGTGCAGAGAAGCACCTGGCGCCTCTGCCCGCAGGGGACGTGGGAGTGCATTCCCACGGGGGGCCTGCTGGGGCGTGGGCAGACAGTGCCAAACTGCCCTCAGTGTTCCTTCAGCTTTGGAGGGCCACTGCCTCTCACAGTGATGGAAAATGAGAAGGGTAGGATGTGAGAAATATAAACATTTGGAATCCCGAACTCTGAGGATGGAGACCTCCCCACTCTCACCGACAGGAACAGACCTGGAGAGACTCCTTTCCTCCCACAGCAGCCCCTGGGCCCCCACCCATTCCACAGAACCCCCAGATGCGGCCCCCACGTCTCCCCATCATCCTCCGATGTTTCTCAGCCCCAGAGCCCCTGACTTTCCCAGCACCCCATCTGCCTGGTCATTCCTGTGTCCCACAAAATAGGGCCCATCTCAGGAGGGAGGCATGTCCAGGTGGTTGGGCTGAATGTTGGGGTTCCTTGACTTTTAACCTCACTGATCCCACAGGGCTCTGGCAGAGCGCCTGGCCCGGGTGGGGCCCCCCGAAAGCGAGCCAGCCCGGGAAGCAGCGGCCAGCGCCCTGGACCGTGTGACCCGGCTCTGCCACCGAGTGCTGGCCGACCTCCTGTTCCAGGAGCTGCAGGTGAATGAGGCAGGAGGCGGGGTGGGGCCCTGCCGGGACAGGAGAGCACGCCCCCCCCAACCCTTGGTTCCTTCCAGCTCATGACTCAGAGTTTGGGAAGCAGGCAGGGGTGGGGGTGTCGGCCATGTCTGGGCTATTTAGGGGCCTAGGGGGACACAGGAAGGAAGAGGCGGGAGGCTATGGTCCAGGGGAAGACAGAGAGCCACCAGCAGGAGGGGCCTTGGGGTGTGGGTGGAGCCCCTCCCTACTGCGGTCCCCCAAGTCCCTGCCCAGCCTCTCCTAGACCCCACAGCCCTGTCCACCTCCACTGGGCTCCTGTGCACACCCAGAGGGGACTGGGCTCGGGGGTGGATGAGGGTACGTGGGAAGGGCAGCAGTAAGACGGGGGAAGGAGACAGAGACAGAGGTGTGTGGTCGAGGCGCACAGTTACGATGCATGTCCAGTCCCCGTTGTAGCTCAGTCCGTCCCTCCTCCTCAGTTCAGAAGCCTCCGTGGCTCCCAGCTCACCCAGGGCGAAGGCCAAGGACCCTGCTGTGGCTCCTGGGCCCTGCCCAGGGTGCCCTTCCCTTTCTGACCTCAGCGCCACCCACTTTCCCCCTCGCCCACTCTAGCCACAGGGCCCCTGTTGCTCCCGAGCAGACGGACACAGTTCAGCCTCCGTACCTTTGCACTTGCTGTTCCCTCTGCTTGGACCACTCTTCCTTCCAATAGCCCCGTAGCTCCCTCTCTTACCGCTTGGAAATCTGGGCTCAGATGACACCGTCTCAGGGAGACCTCCCTCCCCTGACTGCCCTATTAAAAATAGACTGGCACTCTGGCTGGGTAGCTCAGCTGGTTAGAGCATCACCCCTGATATGCCAAGGTTGTGGGTTTGATCCCCAGTTAGGGAACATACAAGAGTCAACCAAACAGCTCTGGCTGGTGTAGCTCAGTGGACTGAGCACAGGCTGCGAACCAAAGGGTGTCTGGTTCGATTCCCAGTCAGGGCACAGGCCTGGGTTGTAGGCCAGGTCTCCAGTAGGGGGTATATAAGAGGCAACCACACATTGACGTTTCTCTCTCTCTCTCTCTTTTACTTTAAAAAGACTTTATTTCTTTATTTTAGAGAGAGGGGAAGGGAGGGAGAGAGGGAAAGAAACATCAGTGTGTGGTTGCCTCTCATGTGGCCCCCACTGGGGACCTGGCCCACAACCCAGGCCTGTGCCCTGACTGGGAATCGAACCAGACACCCTTTGGTTCGCAGCCCGAGCTCAATCCACTGAGCTACACCAGCCAGGCTCTCCCCCTCCCCCTTTCTCCCTCCCTAAAAATAAATAAATAAAACATTTAAAAGAATCAACCAATAAATGCACAACAAATTGATGTCTCTCTCTCTCAAATCAATAAATGAAGCTTAAAAATAAGGTAAAACAGACTCCCTCACTCCCTGGTCTATTTGCCCCTGAAGCACCTATGGCCACCAGCCATGCTGCATCTTTTGCTTTTTTTTTTTTTTATCCGCCTTTCCCCACTGGAATGTTAGTTTCTCAAGAGCAAGGATTTGTTGGAATGTTTCTAAAATAGCTTCTTATCATGGAAAATTTCAAACATACACAAAACCAGGCAGAATGACAGAATGACCTCGCGTGGACCCATCACCCAGCTCCCGGGAGTCCAAGCCCCGGGCCGGGCTTGTCCGCCCCAACCCCTTCTCTGGCCCGCCCCCCACTTCTGCGGCCATGGCATTCTTCTCAGGCAGACCCTTGACATCCTGCCGTCATCCATCAACACTCCAGCCTGTATCTTCGGAGATAAGGAATCCTTTGTAAACAAACACAACCACAATGCCATTTTTATACTTGACACAAAGAACAATAATTCTTTCTTTTTTTAAATCCTCTCCTGGGGACATGTTTATTGATTTTAGAGAGAGAGGAAGGGAGAGAGAGAAACATCGATGTGAGAAACGTCGATTGGTTGCCTCCCACATGCGCCAGGACCCGTCTGGGACCAACCCCAACCTCCATATGTGCCCTGACCGGGGATCGAACCCACAACCTTCTGGTGTACGGGGACAAAGCTCTAACCAACTGTGCCACCCGACCATGGCAAAGACAATAATTCTTAATATCATCAAATATCACAGTGGCATTTAGATCCCTCTGACCTGCTTCTGATGATGAAGTGTTTGCCTCCTTCGGCACTGTGTCCCAAAACGTTCGGTGATGTGTCCCCTGTGACCCAGCCGGGGCTGGGCCCCCAGGAAGGCTCAGAGTGTTTGTTGAGTGACTAAATGGACAAGGATGTGAGTGGAAGTGAGTGAGTTGGAGGGAGAGGTTGGGGTGCTGGGAAGGGGGTACAGTCTTGGTCCCGGGCCTGGCTACACGGCATCCAGGTGGGGGGACCTCAGGTAAGTCACCCGTCCTCTCAGGGCCTCTGCTTACACGGAGGGCGCAGGAGCTCCAGCCTTCTCAGAGGCTCTGAGGACGCAGTGACACCGTGGCCCCGGAGTGCTTAGCTGGGGCCCTGGCCCGTGGGTAGTGGCCACCGTCACCTTCATCCATGTACCGACTTTACAGCAACACTAACATGTCCCGAGCCAGCAGCTGTACCGAGAACATCAACTATTTAATTCAGACGGGATTTTCAACAAAAGCCCACAGGCCCCATTTTTGGAGGTTTAGAAAATGGGGCTACTGGCCTGGCTGGCGTGGCTCAGTGGACTGAGTGCCGCCAGCCTGTGAACCACCGGGTACAGGTTCCATTCCCAGTCAGGGCACATGCCTGGGTTGCAGGCCAGGTCCCCGGTAAGGGCTGTGGGAGAGGCAACCACACATTGATGTTTCTCTCCCTCTCTTTCTCCCTCCCTTCCCCTCTGTCTAAAAAGAAAATAAGAAAAAGGAAAGAAAATGGGGCTACTGTCAGGATGAGAGAGCAGAAAGGGGTGTTGGGCCGACAGGCCAGCCCTGGAGGTCTCCCGGGATCTCACGCACCTGGCGGCCACCCAGACTGCACTGTGTCCCCTCACTCTTCCCAGCCTGCCTCTCGGGGACAGACCGCTGCCCACCCACTTCCTGGATCCCATCCAGAGGCCTCCGTCCCTCCCCCACAGGCGGTGGCTGACTGCACCCTCTGACACATCCCCTGAGTCCCCCTTCCCTTCTGATCCCGCTACCCCCTCCCTCCTTCCAGCCTCCCGCACCACCCCCACCCCCGTCCGGAGAATTATCCACTGGTCTTGGCAGCCAGTGACCTTCTCCTTGGTCTTCTGACCAGCAAGCCCATCTGAAATCTGAACTTTCTTCACACTTGCCTCTGGTTGAGCCACTCCCTCTTCCATCTGGCCCACAGTGGCCATCATCAAGGCCTCAGCGCTGGTGTCTCCTCCTCCAAGAAGCCCTCCTTGACTCTGCTCCGACTCAGACATCCTCTCTGAGGTCCCTAACCCCCTGCCTGAGCTCCCCGGCTCCAGCCCTGCACACTCTGGGTTACCGCTGTCTGCGAACAGGGTCTGTCTCCCTGTCAGGACTCGGTCCCCATGAAGGCAGGGCTGGGGCTGCCTCAGTCACGGCCGTGCCCCCAGCGCCGTGCAGTCCTGGTTCAGCTCAGAGCCCGGTTTGGGGACAGACGTTGAGTGACTCGGCGAAGAAAGAGGGCGGCGGGACGGGGAGCCGTGACCTTTCCTCTTCTCTGTGCCTCCCAGCCGCACTTCAACAAGCTGATGCGCCGGAAGTGGCTGAGCAGCCCGGAGGCCCTGGACGGTATCGTGGGCACGCTGGGCGCTCAGGCCCTGGCCCTGCGCAGGATGCAGGATGAGCCTTACCAGGTACGCTTGCTGGGGGGTGGGGGGAGCGGGGAGCAAGAGAGCTCCGCTGGGGGCGGGGGGCGGGGGACCTTCCGAGGTGGGGAGCAGCCCTCGCGGGGCGCGCTAGGTGGCGCTGTGCCTAGGGCCCGCGGGGAGGCGCGCCCGCGGGTGTTAGGGTGCAGGGCCAGGACAGACAGGGTGGGGGCGTCCGGGTCGCGGAGCTCGGGAGGATAGGCAGAAGGCGGGGGTGGAGTGCCCTTTGGGGGCCGGGAGGGGGTGTCTACGAGCCGCTTAGGGGCAGGGGAGTGTGTATCATCAGACAGGGCAGGGGTCACTTTTGGGGGCTGGGAGGGGCCAGGCGCCCTGTGGGCAGGGGCCGGGGTGCCGGGTGTAGGGAGCGGGGAAGGGGGTAGCCGGCGGCTCACACTCCCTCGCGTCTGCCGGGTCCGCAGGCGCTGGTGGCGGAGCTGCACCGGCGGGCGCTGGTGGAGTACGTGAAGCCCCTGCTCCGCGGACGCCTGCGCTGCCGCTCGGCGCGGACCCGCAGCCGCGTGGCGGGGAGGTTGCGGGAGGACGCGGCGCAGCTCCAGAGGCTCTTCAGGCGGCTGGTCAGTGCGGCCGGGGGCAAGGGGCCCGCATAGCCGGGGCGGGGACTTAGAAAGAAAAGCTCACCCAACGTTCAGCCCACAGCAACCGGTAACACTCGGGTCCTCGCCCCCCGCGGGTAAAGCCCGGCTTCCTTACGGTGACAGCTGCCTCTGGGCGCTCCTGAGAATCCCTGTTGGGGGGCTGGGTCAGTGGTGTCCCGCCCAGGGCTCAGGCCCCTACTTGGCACGGAGTTGCCGACACCCCACAAACGCTGGCTGCTGTTCGGAGCCCCAAGGTAGGAGCCGAAGGCCCCAGAGCCTCCGAATCTGACTCAGCGTGTCCGAACCCCAGAATTTTAGATCGCCAGCGCGTCTTACTCGTGTACCCCATGGGAATCGGCAGGACCAGAAGGGCCTCGCCACCCGTAGTGCCAGCAGTTTCTAGTCTGGACCCCATAGGGAAATAGTTTTTCCCCTTTTGTTGGAAATCGTATGGGGACGCAGAGCGATCCCTCGTGCGCCGCTACCGGAACACCCCACCCAGGTTTGCAAACTCGAGCTACGTTCTGAGAGGTGATCCCGTGGCTCGCACTCTCGGCAAAAGCTAGAAATGGCTTCTGTTAGGATTTTTTCTCCAAATTTCCAAAGGTTCCAGATAACCTCTGGCCACAGCTTGTCCTCTGCCCCGTATTACAGATAAGGACACTGAGGCCTGCAGGGGCGAGGCCTCGGGAGGGTGGGCTTCGGGGAGGAGGGGGGCGCTGGGGGAGAGTGAGAGCCGCGGACCTCGTCCTGCAGGAGTCCCCGGCCTCGTGGCTGGACGCCGTGGTGCCGCATCTGGCCGAAGTCCTGCAGCTGGAGGACACGCCCAGCATCCAGGTGGAGGTGGGGGTGCTGGTGCGCGACTACCCGGACATCAGGTGAGCGCTCCCGTCCACACGCCCCGCCGCGCCGAGGTCTCCGGGCGGCCTTGGCGGCCGTCCCTGTGCTTCCTGCCTCTGGGGTGAGGGAGGGAGGCGGCGAGCGCGTCTGACGGCCGTTTCCTGCGGGAACCAGGGCATTATTAATACGGTTTCCCTCCTTCGGCTGCCCCCGCCGCCGCCGCCGCCGCCGCCGCCGCCAGGGCTCGAAAACAAACAGGCGAGCACAGGAAGCGCAGGGCAGGGGGGCGCGGGGCGGCCGGCGGCAGGAAGGGCCGGCCCAGCGGGGGAGCCGCGGGGGACGCGGGGACTTGCACGGGCGCACACGGGCGCACACGCACCGCCGCGGCGGCGGGCGCCGTTCCGATCCTGGTGGACCGTTTCCTTTCTTTGTGGTCCTCTCTGACCCCTCGTTTCCTCATCTGTTCCATGGGAATAATAGTGCTCTTTCCATAGGATTATTAACTTATATCATCGTCGTGGTCGTCGTCATCATCAGTGGCGACAACCGTAGCAACACCAGCCCTTGTTTATTGAGTCCTAACGTCCTACCAAAGAAAGCTTCTTAGGTAGCCGCCCTGCACTAGAGGGCAGCCCGTTCGAGGTGCTGGGCGCCCTCTGAGGTGGGCAGAAGCCCAGTGCGTCTTCCCAAGGTCACAGCTAGCAAGTGGCAAAGCCCAGACTTGAAACCAGGCAGCAGGCTGCCTCTGAACCTGGCGCCCTGGCCACCGCAGACACTGCCAACTGTGAATCCGGATGGGGGCGGTAGGGGTACCCCAAGCAGACAGACAGACATCCTTTACCCAGAGAGACAAGAGCCCACACCAACAGGGAGCGGGCTTCTCGGGGTCCAGGTGCAGGGTTGAGGGTGAGGACTCGGGGACTCGTTCAGGATGGGCTGTTCTGGTTCTGGGGCGTGGAGCTCATGTCCGTGGGAGGCACAGAGCCCTGGAGGGGGACCCCTGGGGGCGGGGGACCCAGCATTCCTGCTGGACTGGGGTTTCTGGACTTGACGCTGGACTTGAATCCGAACCTCAGTTGGAGAGGTCTCCAGCTTGCGTTTTGCAGTTCACTCGAGCTGGAAGGTTCTTGAGCCGCATGTTGGACTCAAGTTTCGGGGACGTGGGGATTTGAAACCCGGGGTGAGGACGCGGTGGTGGAGGCGCTGAGCCAGACTGAAGGCAGCAGCGAGGTCCCTGCAGCTGTTGGGAGTGGAAGTTCTGGAAACGAGTGTGGGGTTCAGCTTCTTGAGCGGAAAGGTGCTGGGGTTGTGGGCTGCATTCCAGACCCATGTTCCGGGGTCTGGAGCTGAGGAGGGGCGAAAGGGCCGGCCTCATCGCGCTGGGTTTAGGCGCAAGGGTCATAGAACAGAGTCGGGTTTGGGGTATGATTTTCCGGTTGACATAAGGGTCCCCAGAGTGAATTTTAGTCCCAGAGCGGAATTTCGGTGGAACTGGAATTGGGGAAAGGGTTGGGGGTGAAGGAGTGCGGCTCCAGGGCCTACTTTGGGGACGGAGCTCCTAGAACGGGGTCCAGGTGGATGAGCCATCAGGAGCTGAGTTTGTGAGGCGGGCCCTGGAGCTACGGAGGCGAGAAACCTCCAGACCTGGCCTGGGGCAAGGTGCGGGTAGGACGGGAATGTGGGCGGGCCCTCCTGGGCCACTTCTGAGAGGTGGTGTGGGGCCGGAGAGAAAGCGAAGACGACCTTCGGCGCAGCTGTAGATGCCAGAGCTTAAGCAGCCGTGAGGCCAGCGCCCGAACGGGCGTGGGGGAGCCCCCTGAGCTAAGCCGGGGCTGGGGATCCAAGGCGATTGTAACCAGGAGCCCAGCCTCGGTGGAAAGGGGATTCCTGTGCCGGGTTCCCAGGCAGGGGCTCCGAATCCACTGCGGGAGGCGGGGTTTGGAAATGGTTGGAAGCGAGGTTCTGGAGGAGGCTGGCATGGGGGAGAGGTCGGGGTCGTCGCAGGAGGGGACCTGCAGGGGGGCTGATGTGAAGGGCGGGATTGGGGGGCTCCTGACTGGAGAGGGCTCTGGCATGCAGGAGGACTCTGTTCTGGGAGGGGCGCGCGTCCTGCGGGGTCCGCAGGCGGGCTGGGTGTGCGTGGGGAGCCGGGACCCCCAAGCACCTGCCCCTTCCTCACGCCCAGGCGGAAGCACGTGGCCGCGCTCCTCGACATCCGCGGCCTGCGCAGCACCGCCGCCCGCCACGAGATCCTGGCCGTGGCCCGCGACCTGGAACTGTCTGAGGGGGGCGCCCTGGCGCCGCCTCGGGACCGCGCCTTCTTCGCAGACATCCCCGTGCCCCGCCCGCCCTTCTGCCTCGGCCTCCCTCTCGTCCTGGGCTGCCTTCCCCCGTCCAGGCTGGCCAGGCCCAGTCTGACCGGCCTGGCCTGTCTGCGGCCTCCTTCTCCGACACGACCCCGGGCCCAGCGCTGAGACCGCCCGGCCCCCCGCCTCAGTGCCCCCATCTTTGCTGCTGACACGCCGTCCCCCTGATACCCCGCCTGGGACTGCAGAGCTCTGGGACGCAGAGGTCCTCAGAGGTCGTCTCCGCCCCAAGCCCCCTGTACAGAAGAGAAACAGGGGTCAGAGGGGGCGAGGCCCCACCCCAGACCAGCAGACCCGTGGCAGCACCCGCTCCCCAGCCCAGCGGGTGGCGGTGGCGTTGGAAGACTCTACAGAAATATCCCACCACCCCCCTCCTTTCCCCTCACCTCAAGGTCTGGCCCCAATCCAATGTATTAAGGAATGTACGATACTTAGAATAAAGAGGTTTCTATTTAACACAAGGAAGGGCTGAGTCCCCAGTGTGTGGGGGGAGGAAGGACCCGAGGGCAGGGCCCAGGGCCAAGGGCTTCTCACACACCCAAGGCCGGGCGAGGGTCCAACTCTTGGGCAGCGCAGTGGACACCGAGGCCCAGCGGACCGGGAGCAGCCAGGACACCCGGTTTGCACGGAGTCCCCAGGCTGCGTGACTCTGCAGCCACTCTCAGCCAAGGTCTCTCGTTTTGTCAGTCTCAAGTGCGTCTCCTTTCCTGGGCCTGGCAGTTCACCTTGGCCCGTCCTCCCCATCCATCCTCAGCCAGGAAGCTGTGTCAAGAGAGGAAGGAGGTTGGGGGCAGGGCCAGCGGCATCCAGGGCGCCCTCCTGGGTTGATGCAGGAAAATCTCAGGGTGGGAAAAATTCCAGCCTCTCACCCCCAGCCCTGCAGGATCCTGGTCCAAATGGAGACCTTGAGGTCGCCTCCCTGCTGACCCCTGCCCCTCTGGCCCCGGTGGGAGAGCCAGTGATGGATGTTTCCTGGCATGGCTTTTTTTTTTTTCTTCCCCTGAGAAGTCAGAAGGAGGAGGCAGCCAGGGGTCAGCACTGGGGCTGGGGTGGAACCTCAGGTGGGAACTCAGGATTCTTTGAGCCCCAATGCTGTGTGACCCAGGGCAGGAAGCTGGCCCTCTCTGGGCTGTGTTTCCTGTCCTTCTATACAGAACTGCTTACGCTGCCTTTGTCCAGGACGAGGTGAGACATCCAGAGGGTCAGCGTCACTGATGCACAAGAGAGCAACTGAGGGAGGAACAGCGTGCAGTTTGTGGGCATTTAATTCAACATGTGTTCGCCTGAGTTTGGCAGTGTTCTTGTCAGGGTTCGCAAACATCTTCTTGATCTGGCCTGAGAAGCTCTGACCTTCCCCAGAGCGTCAGTGTCCACTTGAGTGAAATGGGGGAAAGGGTCCTAACAGGTGCAATCATTTAGCACTTACTGCATACCAAGGGTTCACTCGGTGCCCCTTCTCAACAGACTTGAAGACTTGGAGACAGGGGCCCAGCCAAAGTCACCCCCCCCCACAGCAGGGGCCAGGACCCCGCCAGGGCACCCCAGGGTCTTACAGCAGCCATCTGGGGAGCAGGCCAGGAGGGCTCTTCCAGGAGGCCACACGGGTCCTGACTCACGGAAAGCGCTTGGTAAACATGAGCTGTTTGGACTCCGATGGAGGTGCACTCTGTCCCGTCCCCACCCTTTCCTGGCTGCGGCCCCTGGGCAGGGTTGCAGCTGCTCATCAGGTACCTGTGTGCCCTAAATGCACAACATCTCCTGGCGCTGCCTCCGGGGAGGGGGGCAGTTCATCCTAGGCAGGAAGCAGGCGCAGATTAGGCCTTGCCTGGGGGAACAGTGCAGTATCCGAGCCAGCAGCTGAGATTCTGACTCGGATCAGAGAGACTCCAAGAGCTCCTAGCCTCTGTCCGCAGGGCACCAGTGCCACGTGCCGGGCTGTGCCCTGTGCCTCGCTGCCCAGGCCTGGGCCAGCCTCCCTACCACCCCAGCGGTGGGGTGTCATTGCCCATCATGCAGCGATGAGGTCCCCAAGGCCCTGACTGTCTCTCCATCATGTCCCACAACCAGGATGTGGGTGAGCAGCCCCATTACTGGGGAGAAAAGATGAAGCCTGGTGGAGAGGGAGACTGAGTGTGAGCCATGGACACGGCCATGGCCACAGGCCAGGGTGAGAGAGAGGGAGGAGGGGAGCCTGCAGGTGGCCATCCCCTCTGCTCAAACCACAGTTGATTCAACAGGCACCAGGACGGTCTAACTTCCTCAAACCCTGGAGCTGCAGCACAGGTCAGAACGGCACCTGGGCCCCGGCCTGGCTGGTGTGGCTCAGCGCACTGAGCGCCGGCCTGTGAACCAAAAGGTTGCTAGTTTGATTCCCAGCCAGGACACATGCCTGGGTTGCAGGCCAGGTCCCCAGTTGGGGGTGTGCAAAAGGCAACTGATCAGTGATTCTTATGCACATCAATGTTTCTCTCCCTCTGTCCACACCCTTCCCCTCTCAATAAAAAAAAACAAAAAAACAAACAAACAAACAAAAAAACCCCAAAAACCCAGCACCTGGGCAGGAAACTCTGAGAAGAGGCACCAGGGATAAGGATCCACCCCACCCTGGGGCCTCTGGCCCTGCTGCCTGCCCCCCACCCCGTGGGGGCGGGGCTCCTTCGCTGCCTAGTGCCTTTGCCCTGAACTGTTGGCCCAGGTGGGTCATTTTCCAGTGAGCTCCCGCCCTAAGGCAGCCTCATCGAAGCGCCAGGACAGTGAGGAAGCGGTCCCCAGATGTACAGAGGGAGTGGCCAAGGGTGTCCGATGTCTGTCCAGCAGAGCCCTTGGGCCCTGTCACCAGCAGGCCAGATCCCAGCAGCTGATCAGGCGGGAGGAGCCAAGCCTGGGCCTCGTCTGAGTCCCCAAGTCCCCCTTCGAGTCCCCAAGCCTCTCCCTGAGATGCCACCCCACTCTGAGTCTCTATCTTTCTTCTTGCGACCCTGTCTCCCTCTGGGAGACCCCTCTCCTTTCTCATTTCCATTCCCCCCTCAGAACCTCCCACTTCCCTCTGCTTCTGAGGCTCTGCTCCCCTCTGGGCCCCTGGGGGCTCTGAGCCCTGTCCCCCACTTGAGTCCCCTCTGAGCCCACACTTCCTCTATTCCTATGAACTCCTTCCTTCCTTCTGTCTACTCATCCAAGTTCATTCTCTATGCCAGCCTTGTTCAAGGCAGTGCTGGGGACACTGTGGTGACCTCAATATCCTTGGCACTGCTCTTGTGGGACTGACAGGCCAGTGGGGGAAACACGTCTATCATCCAGAGTTGTCAAGGCCAAAGTGTGGAAGGTCAGGGGGCTGGGGGAGCCCAAGGGGTGCCTGACGTGTTTGGGAGTCATGGGGGAGGGCCTCCTGGAGGAGGAGGCACATGTGCCGAGATCCAGCCCCCATCTGGACCACAGATGTCATCTTGTAGTTTGCAATATCCCAGAAGCCCTGAGGGGGAAGATGGAACCAATGCATTCCCCACATTCTCTTCTTTAAAAAAAAAAAAAAGACACTTTATTTATTGGTTTTAGAGAGAGAAAAGAAAGGGGGGAGAGAGAGAGATTTGTTGTTCCACTTAGTTTCGCACTCATTGGTTGATTCTTGCATGTGCCCTGACCAGGGATCAAACCCACAATGCTTCCATATCTTGGGACAACACTCTAAGCAGCTGAGCTACCCAGCCAGAGCATCCCCATGCTTTTTCATAGTCTCACCTAATGCACTTTATGAAACATGAACCGGTTTTCAGAGGGAAATTTAAAATGCTCACATCCTTGAACTCAGAAACCGCACTTCTCAGAACGCATTCCTCTGCAGTACACACACAGGTGCCTGCGGGAAGAGCGCCATTGCCCGCTGTTCAAAGCAGCGAAGATGGAAAACAGTCAGGGGGGCGGGGTTCGACTGCTGGAGGTACAGCCCCAAACGCAATACAATGTAGCTGATCAGAGATGGGGGAGGGTGTTCTTCGGATTCTGAGGTGAAACACCCACCGAGACACACTGTTAGGTAGAAAATACAAGGTGCAGGCCGGTGGACACAGCCCAGCTAGTGGATTTGTAACCCCAGGTAGAGACACTACCTAATCTGTATCCATGGTTACCTCTGGGGAATAGGATTAGAGGGAGGAGAGATTCCCACCTTCAAATTTATAAATTTATTCTTTTGGACTTTTTAAACTCTTTCTAGGACTGTAATAAATACACAGAAAGGCACACAGATGATTTGTGCAAAGCTCAGTGAATTTCTACAGAGTGAACACACCTATGTAAATAACACAGGTCACGGTCTAGACCTGTCCCAGCTCTCACCCCCGTGCATCCCCTCCCAACCACTACCCCCGCCCAGAGTAACGCTGTTCTGGTTCCCACACCACTGATAGTTTGGACCAGTTTTTGAACTTCATATAATTGGAATCACACATTATAACCAACACAAAAAAATCTATTGTAGTGCTAAACACTAACAATGAACAATCTCAAGAGGAACTTTAGAAAACAATTATATTTACAATCATTTCAAAAAGAATAACATAATTAAGAATAAATGTAGCCAAGGAGGTGAAGAACTTATATATTGAAAACTAAAAAAAAAAACATTGCTGAAAGAAATGAAAACCCAAACAAATGGAAAGACACCCTTATGTCTATGATTCCAGAGACAATATTGTTTTCGGAACCAGGACAATAACTCCCTGAAGTGCTGACAGATTCAGTGAAATCCCTATCAAAATCCCAATGGTGTTTTTTTCAGAAATAAACAAAAAATTCCAACCATGGGTGGTGTGGCTCAGTGGACTGAGTGCCAGCCTGTGAACTAAAGGGTCACTGATTCGATTCCCAGTCAGGGCACAGGCCTGGGTTGCAGGTCAGGTCCCCAGTAGGGGGCACGTGAGAGGCAACCACACACTGATGTTTCTCTCCCTCTCTTTCTTTTTCCCTTCCCCTCTCTCTAAAAAAAAAAAAAAATTAAAATCTTTTAAAAAAAAATCCAACCTAAAACCCATGAAATTTCAAAGAACCCTAAATAGCCAGAACAATCCTGAAAAGGAAGAACAAAGTAGAACTCAGATTTCCACATTTCAAAACTTACCACAAAGCTACAGTAATCAAAACAGTATGGTACTGGCATAGAGAGACATATAGACCAATGGAATAGAACAGAAAGTTCAGAACTAAACTCTCACGTATATGATCAAAGTTTCCTTTCAGTAAGGATGCCAACTCCATTTGATGGGGGATAGGACAGTCTTTTTGTTTTCAGAAAATGGTACTGGGAAAACTAGATATCCACATGCAAAACAATGAAGTCAAACCTCTATCTTTTAAAAAAGTATATTTTATTTATTCTTAGAGAGGGGGAAGGGAGGGAGAAAGAGAGGGAGAGAAACATCGATGTGCAAGAGAAACATCAATTGGCCGCCCCTCACA